AATTTTTGAAAGTTTGATGTATGAGTAAATCACCCTTATGTAAATCATATAAGATCTGGTTTTCAAACTTACTTTTTACCCGATGTACCACTCACTTAGGTCATGAATCATAAGAGCTAACACAAAAATAACAACAAGAAATCTTAATTTATAAAATTTCTTCCTTAAGGAGTTGGTAACAGTACTTTGTACCTTCATTATAGACTCGACATCCGTATTAGAAAAAAGAGAGGCTAGTCGTGAATAGTCTAGATTTTTATTCTGTTTCAACAAATATATTTCTGTTTGAAAAAGATTTACCCATTTAAAATCCTTTTTTTGGTACAATGTATTCTTCGAAATGTCTCGCTTTTCCTTCCCCCGAAAATAATAGTTGAGTGAAAGTGTCAAACTTGTTCTTGGACTAAACTCACCATACGTTCAATATTTAAGTGTTGTAAAGGTAGAAGTATTTTGTCATTAGAGAGATCCAATGATTAAGTAAATTGAAACTAGCGCTTTACTGAACCAAGTATTTTGTGCGGTTAGTGAATGAATAGTAAAGATTAAAACCGAATTTGTTTTCGCTCGTTATTGTTATCACTGATATAGCAGCAGTAGTACAACCCTAGATCCTGGACCGTCGAACAGTTGCAACGTGCCACTTCGTACGTTTGTACATCAGTCCGATTCTCGACCGTAGCCGTAACCTTGACCTAGAGGGGTGTGACAGCAATGAGGTGTTTCCGTCGGATAACCAGCATTTAAAGCGATGCTACCTTCTCACAAGGAAAGGAAGGATTAGAAAAAGTCGACCATAAAAATGTCACACCTCACCTAACCTCACGGATTTCCGTCTCCGGCGGTAAGGCCTTTAAACAAGTGGAGCTTACGCTTCAAACACTTCTCATGCAAAGGCCGTGCGGGACCGGCCACAAGCTGTTAATTGTTGGTCTCTGTGGTCACGCTTCCAGGTCTCTAAGACCAATGTTAATCTACCTTCCTTTTCAGGTTCTTCAAGAAACACCCTTTGAGGGTGGAGACAGCTGGGAAGTGACATACGCATTCTCACACGTGACAGCACGCGAGACCGAATTCGTCACAATTAAATCCTTCATACTCTCCCTAACATCTCTCTTATCTCCACGACTCACCCTTCTTAAATCCCTTTATCACCCTGCACCGCTAATGCAAACTAACCGGGTTCATGGAACATTATTCCTGGTCTCCTGAAACCCCGTTCTAGACTACATGTTGGAGCTTTTAATGTACGGACATTGTGTCAAATAGGGCAACAGGCTTCCTTAGATATGACATTAGAATCTCGCGCAATAGATGTATGCAGCGTCTCGGAAACGCGCAAACAGGATCCTAGTAAAGTCATTAATTTGATTACACTGTGTCAAAATAAAGAAGCAACTCGATTTACTCTTCGTGTATCTGGAAGGCCTGCTGCTACTTTCCGGGTAATGTTGACTGTCTGCTGCAAATCGATATAAGTCCTCCGAGTTTTACCAAATTTGAGAAAGCTATACGAAATCCGAAGTCAGGGAGATCTTTTTAATCTTGGTAGGTCTTATAGGAATCTCATCAGTGCTGATAGCCTCATGAATGACGAAATATCAGCACGGATACAGAAGGCTCGATCGGCTTTTGCGGTTTTTCATCATGTTTGGCGCAGATGAGATATCTGTTAGCTAACCAAACGGCGAGTCTACTGGGATAAAGTTAAAAACGTTTTGAGATATACATCCACTCATGTTTATCATACGGCTCAAGATGAGAGATTGATAATTGAATAATTAGTCCAAGTTATATGTAAATTGTCGAATTTGCAATGTCATGGCATTCTTCACAGTTTCTTGGTCTAAGGATTAGTTCAGTTAAGTCGTCCGCTTTCAAGTAATAAAATCTGGTGGTGGACCAATCAATATATTATTTCAAAATATTAACAAAGTTATTGAATACCAATGAATGTATATTGAAATATATCAGTTAGATGTGATAAATACAATATAAATATCAGGACGTTACTTTATACGGCTGCTTCTGCGTGTTAGATTGTGATCGGTAATGTAAATCCACAATTATAGAAATGATAGTGATCCAAATGGAGTAATTGTCCGTAGAGTAGCATAAACATATGACCGCAGTCTATAAAGTAGATAATATATGTATTAGACTCCAGATAGCGTTCTAATGAACGATTGAGAACATGAGATATGCGTGTAAAGTGTATTTGATAGGATGCGGCAGTGAGTGCCGTGCTATGTGTACAATGAACGAAAAAAAGGTAAGTAGTCAACGCTACTCGTTTCCAAGGTAACACACTTGAACAACATGTACAATTATTTACTAGTAAATGTACAAGCAGTGAAAAATTAACAGAATAAATACAAAATAAGTTTGTCATACCTATCTCCACGATCTGATCTCTATTGAATTTTAAATGATTGATCTTCCTGAAGAAGTCGCATCTTAGGTTGTACTTCTTCCGTCTATTAAAAACCTCAGTAGGACCTTTGCGAGCATCAAATTTCTCCATGTGACGTATAACATTTCTACGCTAAAAGTGTTCGCAAGGTACATGTCACGTAGTCTTTATTCTCACGTGTGAAAGCGAGAAGAAAAATAGTGATAGTGCTTCAGGACAATTTGCCAAAACTATGCCGATGAGGTACGATTTTCCGTTTCACCATCTGACTAACAGGTGTTTGTTCAACTGTCGCGTACACTATATGACCTCACAAAATACTAGTAATCCTCTACCTAATCCATGTTAAATGTAAATTCAGAATTATGAACGCAGAAATAAATGACGAAAGAATACACCACTTGCAGCCAAATACTGTGAGTAGTAAACACATTTACGTGCGAAATATGCTGGACTATATATTTTTAAATCCGAGTTTCTAGATAGTTTCAAGAATGATTGAGCTTCATGTTTTGGTTTTCTTATAAACAATGTCCGAAACTGCTAGTTTCGACTTGAACAACTAATAAATCCTGCATATTGCCTGATAACAACTTTTAGGCGAATGGAAACACAAACAGCAAAGACCTTGAGGAAATCCGTGGCTTTTAAAAAGCGTATTCGAACTAACATTAAGCTTTTTCTATCGCAAGCTGACAAACAGCTAAACTTAAAGAGAACAATACCCCGGCATTCAACAGAACATTTATATAATGGCAAATAGCGAAAGACTTACACGTTAATTAACTGTTTTTATGTTGATGATAGCTACATAGCCTATTTTTTAATCAATCACTCATCGTACAGGTGTGAATGACAGCGCTAATAGGTTTTAGTGCTTTCCTTCTGTTCTAAAAGACGCGCCAGAACTGGCGATTTCATAATTTAGCAGTAGGACATCAATTTCCAGCTTTTATAAGTCTCTATTGGTTAAATCCAATGACAACAAATGCCGTTGTCACTGATTTATGTATATTTCGGTCAGCTCAGGCTTGTGAGGAGAATTCCACATGCAAATAAAAATGTTTACTGTAACTGTTACCGATTTATAGTCGAAGCAATAAAGTTAGGTAAAATAGTACGATTGTCTTATTAAAACATATGTAAACCATGGTGGAAAGTAAGTGAAGTTACGCATGAAATTTCATCACTAAGCAGAATAAAAACTGAAATGCACTTCATACATAAAGAGAGGAAATATATAACTCTGAGCTTGAGTTTCTACGTTCCTAACCTAATCGCAAGTAGTTAGTCGTCTTCCTGACCAGCTATTCAGGTGCTGTTACAGAAATATATACGGTAGCAACATATCCATTCTGAATGATTAGAATGAAAAAGCAACGTAATTTTTCTCCGAATAAATCAAAATTTCTTAAGTATTCCGAGTAAAATAGCATCACCACCGGTGTTATGGAAGTCTGCAAGTCAACTAGAAGTAGGTATAGCCTTATCAACCAATATAATATTGAAAATGTGGTTTTATATGTGTGAATAACCACTGAACTAGAGAAATATGGCAGTCAGTGAGATTCACAAGTCATTATCAGGATAACAGTTACCAAAGACCAGTCATCCTCACCGCTGCCATCGTTAAAATTGCAAAAATACGTTTGTTCCTTACACATATTTGATAATGAACTAAAGATCTCACAAGAATTCAGGGTTTGTTAACGCTTCTAACCGTAACACTTTTCTAGTTGGGAGTTCAAAACAGTAATATTAAAAGTTAGGAAAGAAGGAAATCGAATGTTTATTTGGAGGACAGTTGTAAAGTCGGGAAGTGTGTGATCTAAACTGACTAGTTGTTACGAGGGAAGCGTAGCGCGGCCAACTCAGTGGTGATCCGGCATCTTCAGCCAGGGTATGTCCAGCAAAATTAATGAGGTCGGCATTACTGTCTAATACTTATTCAACGTTATATACATTTTTTATTATAAGTCACGGTCCTAAGACTTCAGCTCAATGAGGTACAGAAGCAGTTAAGAGATTAAGAAATATGCAGAATAGAGCGCAAAGAAATCAACTGGTTTATACTAGTTTGTGAAATAGATATTGGGTTTTGGACAATGTCGTCTAGTACATTTTTAGGTTGACACCACCCTAGTAACGTCCAAATACGAGATTCATGTACAAACCCTATGATAGAATTTAAAACGTGACTTATATCTCACAAGGAAGAATAGAGGAGGGTTTCCTCTGCAATCCTGAGACTGAGTGGTTAATACATTATAATGCTGGTTCAGAAGTTAAAACTGTTTACCTCATCCTGCCACTGATTAGTGACTGGATCTTGATTTATAGGAGACTAATTAATAACTCTGAAGACGAAACACGTTCTGTTTTATTACTTAACAGATCAGAAAAACTCGAGAGAAAGTTGAAATGAGACACATCTAGGTGGCATAAAAGCTTTCTCTGTTGATGATCAACTCTCAAACCTGCCACAACTAGGAACTGTGTCCATAACTTCAGTTGAATCGTCCGCGGGAATTCTCATGGAGAAAAGTTGACTTGACTCATCCTTTCTTGCTTATGGCACCAATCTGAACTTGAGCTTTACCAAGTTTGAGCGGATAGTTAAAGTTGGCGTTACTAAAATGGTAAGCTTGGTTGACCTTGCTTAATTCAGATATAGGTTTTTCAAGAAATAGCTAAATATGTCCTACCAGGTTCTCCAGATTGGTTCTCGTCAAATGTATTGGCAACAGCGTCATGGAAAGATCTAAATGATGAGGGAAATGTATTACTAGCCTTTTCGTCTAGGCCGTATGTACATATATTCAATATTAAAAATGGTCACTCTGGAAATAAACATAAATACTTCTGGTCTTATGTTGGTCAAATTCAACCCCATCACGAAAAGACCTCAGCGATCACATTCGATGATTGCCTATCCTTATGTTTGGTGTCATGTGGTCTTGATGGTTTGGTTCGCCGATGGGAATATTCACAGCCAGATTGGGTGATTAAAAGCGAGTTTAACGTGCATGATGTGCGAGAAAATTTGAATCCAACTGCACTGAGTTCTTTTTCTCACACTTCAAACCAGTCGTATAACTTCATAGGCACGGACAAAGGGTTACTTATCGTTTGGATTGTTGACTGTGAAAAAAATAAAACACATTATTTGTCCAAAAAGTACGAAAACGAGTCTGTATTAGTCTGTGCAATAAATAAGTCGGAATTTGAGCATTCAGTCTTAAGGGTTGCCGTAGGATATAAAAAGGGACTGGTTGGTGTTTATATGTTCAAACCATCAGATATCTCATCAGCTTCAAGTTTCACACAAATAGCAAGATTCTATGCTCACGAAAAAGATGTTTGTCATGTTGTCTGGAAACCGAATTCTCTGGATTGTATTAAAAACTCCATGGAACTTCTTACATGTGGACGTGATCAAATGGTCAAGGTAAGTAGCTATTGAAACCTCCAGTTACTTAATTTCTGTGAACTTTTTCCAGTTATAAATTCGAGGTGATTGTCTTCGTTACAATCATTTAACTCAGGTTTTTTCCTAATCAAGGTACTGGGTCAGTCATTTGTATTTACCAGTCTTGTTCGTGTATTACAAAATATTTTGATTGTGACCAACTTGGTCTCGTGTGCTGTTACGGGTAAGAGGGCGGTTGTCATTTCTTGGCTGCCCACACCGTGGGTGTTTCTTGAGGGACATGAAAAAAGGTAGATTAGTGTCGGTCTTAGAGACCTGAGAGCGTGACCACAGAGTCCAAGGGACAACTGGTTGAGGCCGATCACGCACGACCTTTTTAGAAGGGGTTTTTTAAGTATTAGCTCGGCTCTTAAAAGCCCTTAGTGGGCACCCTTACCGCTGGAGACGGAACTCCGTGAGGCGAGCTGAGGTGTGTTATTATTAGGGTCGACCTTTTCTAACCCTTCCTTCCTTGTGAGAATGCAGCATCGCTGCAGATGCTGGTTGTCCGATGAAAACACCTTACTGATATCACGCCCGTATGCAGTCAGCAGTATTACTTCGCCCTCATACCTTGATTAGCTGGTTTTCGTCTTATCGTTCTCTAATCGACCTGCCTGACATGGTAGAACCTTCAGGAACATATGTTCCAGCTAATATAGCTTGGTTGGATCATCACGATAGGCAAGCCCGACCACCATGACAAGGTAGCATCTACGGTTGGGATAACAAAATATATGGTAATGCTAAACTCTTATACTGGAAATACGAAGATTTTGTTCAGTCAAACATTTTAAGTTTTATAATGAGTATCTTTACGTTCTAAATAGCTGTTTTTCTTAGTTTGTCTGTAGATGGTCTGGACTAGTAAAAGGATGTATATTACTTACTTACTTACTTTCGCTTGTTACACCCGAATGAGCTTAGGCCACCGACCAGTTTTCTCCAGCCAACTCTGTCCTGTGCTTCCCTTTCCAATTCTTTCCAGTTTTTGTTCATTCTTTTCATGTCTTTCTCTATTTCTCGGCGTGATGTGTTCGAAGCGTTGCTCGTATATCCTGGGACAACCGAATGAGCAATGCTGTTATTAGGAAATGGGTGCTCGGTAAGGATGGCAGATCAATAGATGAAATATTGAAACTTTATCAGTTGTGGTGGTTGGGATGTGTATTACTAATGCCTAACCACCGACTGCCTCGTCGAGCTGTATTTTATGGTGTAGGAATAGGTTGGACGAAAGCTAGGGGCGGCCAGACCAAAACATGGCAGAAATCCATGAAGTCACTGACAAGTGGATTGAGTCATGTCGGTAGGTGTCGACTACCTGGTTGGGGTCCGCGAGATGTTAGTAACCGATGGTCAGAGGCCCTGAATGACATAGCTGAAAACCGTTCACAATGGCTCAGGTGCATTTATTCTTTGTGTTCTCTCGAATCCTCAACTTTTTAATTCTTCATTAATTTATCTTTATCGTTCAAAGTCTATTTTACTAGATTCTACTTCTTGAATAATATCTTCTAATCCTAACCTCTACGAGTACTGTTAATACCTTTACTACCTCTTCTACTATTGGATTTGAATTGACAATAACATCTCTGTGCTAATATGGTATGTCAACATGACCTGATGTACGTTTGTACGAAGTTCTACGTTGCTACTGATTGATTGAATGACCCTGTTAAAAACTTCCTGGTATTGAGAGAAGAGTGATGCCTCTGTAGTTCTCACACTTGCTGAGATCTCCTTTCTTTGGTATGTTGATGAGGTATACTTCTTTTCAGTCTGATAGTACATGTTTTTCATCCCAAATCTTATTGAAGAGAATGTCAAGTATTTTCGCAGTTGCTTCCACATCTGCTTTCATTGCCTCTGCTGGAATGTTGTCTGGTCCTACTGCTTTGCCACTCTTGATTTGTCTGATGGCCATGCTAATCTCCTCAATTTTAGGTGCGCCAATATTAATTGGGAGGTCTGTGGATGCTGTTTCGATGTTGGGTGGGTTCAGTGGAGCTGGTCGATTCAATAGTTCCTTAAAGTGCTCTACCCACCTGCCTCGCTGTTCCTCAATGTTGCTGATTACTTTGCCCTCCTTGCTTTTCACTGGTCGTTCTGGTGTACGATGGTTTCCAGCGAGCTTCTTTGTTGTATCGTACAATTGTCTCATGTTTCCTTCTCTTGCGGCCTTCTATACCGTCATTATTATATCTTCCACATACTTTCGTTTGTTGGCTCTGATGCTCTTCTTCACTTTCCTGTTTGCTTCTGTGTATTCAGCTTGTGCCGACATTGATTACTGCCCTGTTGTTCTTCCTTGAATTTTTCGAGAGTACCAACAGAGATCCATTCCTTGTGATGGTGCTTTTTGTGACCCAGAACCTCTTGACATGTTGAAGTGATTGCCTCTTTAATCCCTTTTCAATTGTTCTCCAAGGTTGTTTCCTCTCCATTGAGTAGATCCTGCAAGGCCTGGAACCTATTGGTGAGGTATATCTTGAATTCGATGAGTTTTATGGTATCCCGCAGAAAGGCCGTATTAAACTTGTATGATGTCGTCTGTCCCGTTGTCCAGTGCTTCTTCAGTTTCAGTTTCATTTTGGTGATCAGCAAATGGTGATCTGAGGCTATGTCAGCTCCTCTCTTGATTCTCACATCCTCCATCGTCCTTCTGAACGTTTTGTTGATACAGATATGATCAATCTGGTTTTGAGTAGTATGGTCCGGTGAAATCCATGTAGCTTTGTGTATGTGTTTGTGCGGGAATATTGTGCCACCGATGACCAGTTTGTTGAAGGCACATAGGTTTGCAAATCTCTCACCATTTTCGTTTCCTTCTCGCAGTCCATGTCGTCCCATGATGACTTCATATCTAGTGTTGTCCATTCCAACCTTGGAATTTAGGTCAGCCATTAGAATCGTCAAATCCTTTGGTGAACATTTCTCGACGATTGACTGCAGCCTTTCGTAGAATTGATCTTTAAAGTCGTCCTTGTAGTCATTGTTAGGTGCGTAGCATTGGATGACGTTCACTGTATTGTCCTCTTTCTTTGTTGTGAAGGATGCTTTAATGATCTTTGGTCCATGATATTCCCATCCTATCAGTGCCTTTTGTGCTTGTTTGGACAGCATCACTGCAACTTCCTGTGTATGTGAAGCATTTTCCTCTTCACGATCAGATTGTAACAGCTGAATGGCAAATCGACGTAAGTCCCCCTAGTCTTAATGACGTTGAGAAAGCGTTAGGAAATCTGAAACGAGGACGAGCTGCAGGTCCTGATAGACTGACCCCTGAGATATTTAAGGATGGTGGTCCAGTTTTAGCAGCTAGGTTGACTGAGATCTTAGGTAGATACTGGGAACTGGACGTAATCCCATCCGACCGGTCTCAATCCTTGATTGTCCCAATCTATAAAAAAGGACAAAAGTCTTCTTGTGACAATCACAGGGGAATAAGTCTAACTAATATAGTATCTAAAATACTGGCCTCAATAATACTTCGACGCTTAACGAAAGCTCGTGAAGAGCAGACTCGAGAAAACCAGGCTGGTTTTCGACCTGGACGTGGTTGTATAGACCACATTTTCACGCTCAGACAGGTCCTGGAACATAGACACACATTTAGGCGTCCTACAATAGTTGTTTTCCTAGACCTTAAGGCGGCATTTGACTCTGTGGATCGTGAGGTTCTGTGGGAGTGTCTGTCATTGAAAGGTGTACCACAGAAGTACATTAACCTTATACAAGCACTCTACTTGAACACCACTGGTCGAGTGAGAGCTTATGGCGAACTGTCACCGGAATTCTCTACATCAAGTGGTGTCCGTCAGGGATGTCCACTTTCTCCATTCTTGTTTAATTTTATCATAGACATGCTCCTAGACATAACATTATCCTCGTCTGAATTTTCAGGAGTAGACCTTCTACCAGGTGGCTCGCTTATTGACTTAGAATATGCCGATGACATTGTCCTACTTGGTGAAGACGCTGACAAAATGCAGAGTCTTCTGACTACCCTAAGCAACAATGCGAGCATGTTCGGGATGCGGTTTTCCCCCTCGAAATGCAAAATGTTGATTCAGGACTGGGTTGCATCAGCACCTGAACTAGTGATAGGGAGTGAAGTAGTCGAACGTGTAGACCGCTTCACTTATCTTGGGAGTCTCATCAGTGCCGATGGCCTGGTGACTGACGAAATCTCAGCACGGATACAGAAGGCTCGATTGGCTTTTGCCAACCTGCGTCACTTATGGCGTAGGCGAGATATCCGTTTGCTGACTAAAGGACGAGTGTACTGCGCAGTAGTTCGCTCCGTCTTACTTTATGGCTGTGAAACATGGCCAGTGAGAGTAGAAGATATTCGTAGGTTAATGGTTTTCGATCATAGGTGTCTTCGAAGCATTGCTCGTATATCGTGGGACACCCGAGTGAGCAACGCTGTTATTAGGAATCGGGTGCTAGGTAAGAATGGCAGATCAATCGATGAAGTATTGAAACTTCACCAGTTGAGGTGGTTGGGACATGTGTTGCGTATGCCCAACCACCGGCTGCCTCGTCGAGCCTTGTTTTGTAGTGTAGGAATAGGTTGGAAGAAAGTTAGGGGCGGCCAAACGAAAACATGGCAGAAATCCATGAAGTCATTGACGAGTGGACTGAGCCATGTCGGTAATTGTCGACTACCTGGTTGGGGTCCGCGAGATGATAATAATCGATGGTTAGAGACCTTGAATGACATGGCTCAAAGTCGTTCGCAATGGCGCCAGTGCATTTATTGTTTGTGTTCTCTCAAATCCTAATCTTCTGGATTCATCAACCCCTCTAGTTTCGACTCTCTAAACTTATCTCACTGAATCATACTTGTTGAATAGTATCTTCTAATCCTAACCTCTCCGATTATTTCTAATTCCCTTACTACCTCTTCTACTATTGGATTTGAATTGACGATTACTTCTCTGTGCTGATGTGGTATGGCAACATGAACTGATGTACTTATGTACAAAGTTCTACGTTGCATCTGACTGACTGACTGCGTCATGGAAGTATCACTTAGCAGGGTCTGTGATCTAGTGGTCGCAGATCTTATCATAGATCGACATCTATTTATCTTCTTCCGAACATTAGAAGGTGAACCATCTTATGACTTTTTTCAATCCGCTCATTTACTGCATCTTCCTCAAACTGTATTCTTGTTGACTTGCTCATAGCTGCAGACCCATAAGCTAAGTATTGAGCCTTTTTTCCTAGCTCAGTTTCGTCTACGCGATTTTATAAACCTGCTTAGTTCAGCAGTTAAGTAAGGTTTTAAAAATAAAGCAATTTTCTATTCCATTCCTTATGATTCAAGCAAATTGGTAATGTCCTCAGTCTGCAAGTAACACTTTTAACCCCAAGCTAAGTACACAAGTCTATTCATTTGAGTTACATTGATCGATTCACTAAAAATCTACATAGTTTGATAAACTATACCATTCTTCTTGGTAAGTATCGTGGCAGTTATGTCTATTTCTCACGACTAATTGCATTCCTTACCTTAACTCGTTAAACATTTACTTATGACTTCTTATTCAATTTCAAAAGAATGTTATGCAACATTATTCTGTCTAGTTTTTATCCTTATTATGTCTTATTTTGTTTTACGCAGTTTTACTTACGTAGCTTATGGTTTTATGATTTGTTTTGCGAAACATGTACATATATAACAACAGTTATTAAATTATTCAAATTACTATTGACACATAGGTGTGGAATGTATCCACTTCAGAGTGCTGTATTTCTACTAAGGTTCCTGGCCAGCCGCGTTGTCATGCAAATGATTCTGCGAAACGTTCAAATCAGAAAAATAATGTAAATGGAGCTCCATGGATATCAGCTTGTTACACCACAGGGATGAATATTTTGTTTTCGGGATTGCGAGGTGAATTATTTCGTTGGAGCTATTCAGACACACCTATTAATATAACACCTGAAAACCAGGGGCATTCCATGCTGATTTTTTCAATGTTGTTTATTCCTAATTCTCCTGGACTAGTGATCACAGTCAGTCAAGACAGAGTTCTGATCGTTTGGCAGTTAGTTGAAGAATCCCATCCATTAGTTGTCTTGCGACTACCAACACTTTCTGCAGGTGTGTTTTCTCTAGCCCAGTCATCATTTAGTAATAGTCCCTTGGTCGCAGGACTTTCAGATGGCTCTATGTTGTTTTGGAAAGTTTATTCACCAAATACGTATGGTGGAAACAGTTTCCTTGAAAATCAAAGAAAAGACAAATCCATTTCAATATCACCTCGAGGATCTCAGTCATCTCCCATAACTGCTCTAGCTTGGCATCCCTTACCACAGTATGAAAACATCCTTGCGTATGGAACCGAGTCGGGTTGTGTAGAAATTGTCGATATTAACAAGCTACAGAAAATACAAAATCAAAAACCGAAACCGCAGTTGTACGCTTTTGGTTCGACTGTTTATCGAGTTACTTGGGGACCTATATTATTTGAGGATTTACGCCACAAAAAAGAACAGAAGGAAACTAAAGATCATTTGGAACCTGACGGTTCTGCAGTTCTAACAAGTGCAACTGCGGAGGAAAGTAAAAAGTGCAGTACCGAGTCTGCAGCTGTAGTTAAGTTTCCTTTCTATGTTTATAGTGTAAGTAAGGGAAAAATTTATTGTCATTTTGGAGGCAGTCGCCCACCGATTGAGGTCAGCATGAAGTTTCCTGCTCCTCCGAATACCACTGACGAAGATTGGAAAACTCTAATTCGCAGTGATATAGCATTCCGCCCCAGTAATTTAACTAAACAGTCATCAAGCGATCCAGTTCCTGATACCTATGATTACTTGATAGGTGTTGGCTACCGTTCAGGTCAAGTTGACGTTTATGGTTTATCAAATTCAAAATTATCGAACAATTTGTCCTTTATTTGCCGTATTGTCAATCATTCGAAGTGTGTCAATTGCTTAGCCTGGTCGAGGGATTATTATTGGCTTGCTATTGCTTCAAACGAATCTTTTATAACTGTTACTGATCTCAAGATACAGCTACTTAACACCCTTAACCAAGAGCATTTAAAACCTGTTCAGCTATCTACTTGTTTGGTACGATTGGAAGGCCACTTCAACCGAGTTACGTGTTTAGACTGGTCCCCACACGACCCTTTTCTCTTACTATCTTCTTCTTTTGATGGTACAGCTAATGTTTGGAGAGTCCATACTGATAATATTGAAAATGATAATCTATCAATATCTAATTTTCGTGCACACAGGCTACGTCTCTTTACATGTTTATGGAGTCGCCAAGAGCCTGATCTTGCCTTCAGCGGTGGAGAGTTATGTCATTTATTTGGTTGGCGACCTTCCGAACAGACCCATAGTCAACCGCCCCATAGTCGCCGACATAGACCACCAACTATCAAAAGACTTGTAAATAATCAAGAAGAACAGTGTAATGGTGATATTTTGGGTGAATCTTTTCCGTTAGAAGCAGACTCCTTTCTGAATTGTGAAGCTTTAAAAGAAAAACCAAATGAAGAAGTAATGTTGAAAAATGATAAAGTTATCAGAGCTTCTCACAAAGAACAATCTGTTCCATATCATAATTCCTCTAGAAAAATTAATTCTGCTGGAACGGCAGAAAAAAGAAAACGACCTGCTCTTTTTCCTAACCTATTTCAGTTCACTAATAATAAGCAGTGTGAGCTGAACTTGTGTCATTCTCCGCCTTTTGATATGGGGACGTTTCTTTCACAGATTTTAAATGTTTCTGACTTCATAACTGAAAAAGGGAATGATGAAAAACTGCCAATTGATCTACTGATTCTGTTGCCAGAAGTTAATGTTACCCGGACTTATCTTTTGAAACATTTAAAAATGGAAGCAGCTCATCATTTAAAGTTATTTCACTGTGGTCAACGACCGAACAGTTTAGTTCATTTGGATGCCTACTGCATCATACTTTTATGGATGGGCTGTATATCTAGTATCCCGTCTGTTATGTCTACAGAAGGTCACATGCCTTTTTGGCTGTTATATGCAATTCAACTAGCTCAGTCAACTTTTGCCCACCCTGAAATCTATAATAAGTTAACTTTCTCAAAAGAAAATCCCGTTGTGGGAATTGACTTACTTGGTGAAAAGGTGAGTTAGTATGTTAACATTTAAATTAAATTGTGTTATTCTTAGAGCAATAAAATTTCCTCATATACTTGAAATGCTTTCCTTGTCGTAGCACTTCAAGATGGTGTAACGATTTCAGTAACTGGTCACAAGTTTATGTACTAAACCATAAACGATGTGTAATGAAAATGCTTAATATCTTATTATTTAATTAGATGCTGACTTGAGCTGCGATGCCTAAATGGTTGTCAGTCATGTCGTCGATTCATCCGACAGCAAACATTTCGTGAGTCTAATATCTGTTGGAATCTGATCAAGTATATCGACTTTACTGCGTATATTACTGCATTCAATTCTGACATTGGAATCGTATCCGAAAATACGTAAACTACACTACCAACTGTAAGCGAAAATGTCAATTAGTCAGTCAGTTACAATGTAGGACTTAGTATGTACGTAAATCAGTACGAGTCACCATACATAACCTCAGAGAAATGGAATTCTCTATTCAAATCCCATAGTGGCAAAAGTTTAGCAATATTAACGGTAATGGAAAAGATTAGGGTTGACAGATATTATTCAGGAAGTATAATCCGAAGAAATAAATTTAAAATGACAAGAGAGAGGTCATGAGGTATTCGGAAGGTTAGAATTTGAGAGAAGACAAAGAATGGATGCACCTGCGTCCTTGCAAACGGTTTTGAGCCGTGCCGTTCAAAGTCTCTAGATCCGAGTAAAATCATTAATTTGATTTCACATTGTTCAGATAAAGAATCAACTTGGCTTGCGCTCCGTGTATCTTTTGGCCGTGTGGTTGTTTCCCATGGACTTGATGGTGTGGATATAGTATTAGTTCTTGAGGCAGAACTGGCTGTCAACTTTCTCCGTTCTTGTTTAATATTGCCATAGACATATTTTTAGAGGTAGCATTATCTTCGTCTGACTTTTCATGCGATCGCTAATCGATTGATGAAGTATTTAAACTTCATCAGATGAGGTGGTTGGGACATGTGTTACGTATGCCCGACCACCGACTGCCTTGACGAGCGATATTTTGTGGTTTAGGAGAAGGTAGGAAGACAGCAAGGGGCGGCCAAACCAAAACATGGCACAAGTCAATGAAGTCACTGACATGGCTCAAAATCGTTTGCAATTGCACAGGTGCATTCGCTCTTCATGTTCTCCGAAATTCTCTCTGTTTCTAAATTGATCTCACTGAATTATACTTCTTGAATAATATCTTCGAACCCTAATCTTCTTCATTACCAGTAGTACTTCTATGTTCACCACTATGGGATTTGAACTGACAATCGCGAATCTGTGCTAATGTGGTATAGCAACTTGAACTTATGTACGTTCGTACGAAGTTCTACATTGAACGTGACTGACTGACTATACTCGATAAGTTTTAATTTCTGAATGCGAACTTATAGGCAATATGCCGAAATGATAGTTGTCGTAAACTTAAGCTACATAGTCCAATAGGTTATCTTCCAACTAAATCACGACAAAGTCTGAAATGCTTCACAATAATTAAGGTGACATCGGATTCAAACAGTGATTGATTAGATTTAAAGACGAAAATTTTAATTATAAATTTGATCAGCTTTCTTGAGGTTACTCTGAACTTGGAACGGAGAGCTAAGTATAGTTCAAAAGATCTTGAGCTTTTGAATTGACTTAATTTTGGTTGATATTTAGATGGAATAAAAGTAGTATGAAAATAGCAATCAAGTTTGAGAACATACCTATCACCATACGTAAAATCAGTACGCTTTGTCCTGAAAAGAGTACACAGAAGAAATAAAAATCAACTTAAGTAAAAATTGTGTTATAGGTAGAAAATTATATTCACCAAAGTAATTCTTTGGTAGCAAGGATAATATGGTTACAATCAGTAAACATGAAGTTAATGATTTAGTGGCCTCTAGTTCTAATTCTAAAATAAAAGTTAGTAGAGTGGAGAGAAAGATGATTTAATTGAATACTATACACTGTTTTGTTTTGTCGATAACAAAAGAGCAGAATAGGATGCTGATCTGTCTATACTAGATGTGCTGTTTAATGACAAATACTAATACATGTTTAAAAAAGGAAGACAAGTAGCATCAGTGATGAATACAACAGGTCAGTACATTAATCATGAGAAATAAACCGAAAAAATTAAAATCAAACTCTCAGTACAGTAAAACATAATGGAGCATAACAAACCACAGGAAACAACCACACGGCCACAAGATACACGGAGCGCAAGCCAAGTTGATTCTTTATCTGAACAATGTGAAATCAAATTAATGATTTTACTCGGATCTAGAGACTTTGAACGGCACGGCTCAAAACCGTTTGCAAGGACGCAGGTGCATTCATTCTTTGTCTTCTCTCAAATTCTAACCTTCCGAATACCTCATGACCTCTCTCTTGTCATTTTAAATTTATTTCTTCGGATTATACTTCCTGAATAATATCTGTCAACCCTAATCTTTTCCAATACCGTTAATATTGCTAAACCTTTGCCACTATGGAATTTGAATAGAGAATTCCAAAATCAGTCGAGTCTTCTTTATACTTGCTGTAATTTGGTCAGGCACTTGGTCATCAAGACTTACGGGATGTATTTTGAAAAGAACGTACTAGGCTGATGATTCTGTGTTATATTTTTAAGTATCATAATTTACTTTTTCTTCCTTATCAGTTACAATTGCCGATAGTTTTCTAACCTGCCAGTATTAGCGTAGATATTGTGTTGAAACAGACTACGTGGTTTCATTGTCTTCTCATGCAGAGTATTATTTTAAAGAGAATCTTTAAGGTTCATATCTATTCTATTAACGAAATGCAGAGACTAAACTTCATTTGAAAGAATTATGTACTGGTGATTATAAATTGTGCTCAGATAAAACTGAAATTTATTTATTGGTTAAATAATTTAGAAATTGAATTAGTAGACATGAAAAAATAAAGACGAGATTTCTGAATGAATGCTGGATATTTGAAGAAAGATAAGTCTAACTAGTAAAACCTAAGTCATCTTGAACTAAATGTTTTAGAGTGTGTGCTTATTGAATGCTGTTTGTATTAACTGAGCCCTTTAATCTCGGTTGGGGATTGTTGATCGGAGCCTGCGGATTAAATGACCGAAAATCCCAACTGAGCTACAAATTTTCTATAATACACTTTTGCAGTAGACTATTGTTTGGCAACCATCTCACACTGATCAAGTATTCTTGAATAGTTAGAGTACTGAGGATTCATCTTGATTTTTCCAGTCCGTTTTATGTTGTATACCCTGGGGAAGTATCTTGAGCAAAATCGTTCAGTTCACTCATATTATTTGGTTATTTATTTAAACCTACTGGTGTTTCCAAAAGTTGAGTTACTTTTCGCATATATCAGGATTCTAATTTAATTTTTAAAAATAAAGCCTTGCCAAGATGAAAAACTACTAACTTTTTGAAAGTATTGGGGTAGATTTCTTATTGAAAAAATTTTTTTAAGTTACCCTGGCAACTTATTCTACTGATAAATTAAAATTGAGATGAGTTGACATGAATTAAGTCTAGTAAACTTATCACATCAAGGTGTTTAACAAATATTTTTAATAGATAGGCGGTCTGCTATACACTTTTATAATGTATTTTACATTAATACGTATAATCTTTTTTCTCTTTTATTCGCTGTATCAGGTTGCTTGTTATTGTTTCTTCATATGTTTTTCAAATCAATAGATTAAAGATATGCAAACTTCTAGTCCTGACATCCTTGTGTCTGTTACGCTTTTGGTATGTGCACATCGTGTCCAAGAAGCCGTTGAACTTCTGTTGAGTTATGATAGAATTAAAGAAGCTTTAGTTCTTGCACGTTTACGTTTAGATCCATCAAAATCTTGGAAATATGCAGAGAAATGTATCACACGACTTATTGAACGTTCTTGTTCAAACGAAAAGTCGTTCTTTCTTATTATATACAATATTGGAAAAAAGGAATGGATGAATGCCACTAACATAATTCATCGTGAGGTTGAAGTTTCCAACTTGCGAACTGGTAAAGAGATTGAGCAACTTTCATGGTACTGGATTGGTATTAGTCTTTTACTTAATACACTATCCTTGGATTATTTGTCAAGTGAATGTCTTCGTTTAGCTTCAATGTGTATGACAGTTGGTTTTAAACTGTTTCCTAGTGAACCAGTTTTCCTTGAACGTTGGTTTGATGCATTTTCACGCCTTCTATCGTCTGAGACAACATCTTGCTCTGGTTTAATTAGCAGTTTATTATTGTTAGATATTGGCCAGATTATTTCTTTTCTTATGGCTAATTATCATCAAGACGAATCTGGTACAACAATAATACCATTTGAAAATCGTAGTAATAACTGGATGAAATACATAAATCCCGATTGCATAACTTGTTTGAACCACTTAATTTCAAGTCGTCAACCGTCTTCATTATGGGAAGTTTGTTTAACAAATTTCTGTATAGACTTCCTTTTGTTTTACTTAGTGCATAATCATATTTCTCCAACTACATCGCCATCCGATAATTCGCTGACAATCTATATTGACCGATATGAGTCTAGTCGAAAATCATGTGAGCAAATCAAACCAAAAGAAACAGCTTATTTAATCAGTCATTTATTTTCAACTTATCAGCAGGTCTTAGTGAATAATTACTCTCTTTCGGCGAATAAATTGTGTTTTTCGCCTTCAGATGATGTGTAAAAATGTTCTGTAGTCTAGTAATTATATACCTACCTGAATATTTCGTGCACTCATTTTCGTGAACCTCCACGTTGCATTTCTAAAATTTGTAAAATGTTCATTATGTACAGGATAAATAACAATAAATATTTTAACAAGATTTTAGATTTTTACTTCATCATACTTTCACCGTTGTATTACTGCATATTTAAAGCCGCATAATCGAAAAGTGAACTAAACGGTTTGCCTGCTTGTTTTGTTTGTGAATTTATTGTTCTAACCCTGAAAATTCCTTTGGTTATCAGCAGATTGCTTTAGCTATGTTGTAAATGCCTCTGAAGGATATTTGTCCTAAACGTGACTTCATCTGAACGCTGAATATCTTCATTGTTATCGATCTAAAGGCTATAATCTATTTGGCACAACAGGTAGATTTAGACTTTGAATTCTGACGACAACGTAGATCAATCACTCCTTACTTACAAACTTATGCCTGTTATCCCTAATGGCGCATGGGCCGCCGACCAGCATTCTCCAACCAATTGTGTCCTGAGCTCTCCTGCTAACTACTATTCGTTTTTTGATGTCTGCTGCCTTCCACTCTTGGTGCTGAGTATTGTTTTGTTCGCCTCATCATTTGGCCTAGGGGATTCCAAGTCAGGGCTCACTTCATGACACATTTAAGTGATTTCCATATCATATGATCTTTCAACCCACAACGCTTTTGCCTCAGTTCTTCATCATATGGAGGCTGGTTTATTCTCTGCCATAGTAGGTTGTTGCACATGCTGTCTGGTTTATGGATCCGCAGTATCTTGTGTAGACAACCGTTAATAGACACCTGTATCCTTTGGATAATGGCCATCGTAGTTCACCAAACTTAAGCAGCGCGCAGTAGAACTGTCTTATGTTTGTATTGCAAATCATGATTTTTGTGTTAACCGACAGTTGATTTGAGTTCCGGATTTTCTTCAGTTGTAGAAATGTTATCCTTACTTTGCCAATCTGTGCCTTCACATCTGTATCTGTCCCACCTTACTTATCAATGATGCTATCCAGTTATGTAAATCTTCCCACCTCTTCCAGAGCTTCTCCGTTAAGTGTGATTTGATATGTGCATTCTGTGTTGCGCCTACGGATCTTACTTTCGTCCTCGTGTATGTTGAGGCCTGTTGCTGCAGAGACTACTGCTGAATTAGTCGTCTTCAAATGCACTTGTTAGTGTGTATGGATTTGAGAAGCTAGGTCATCTGCGAAGTTTGAATCACTTAGCTGCTTCCGAGTTTTCGACTGTGTTCCATGCTTCCAGTGGGATGTGAAGGTCTTCATAATTCATTCAACCACCAGAGTGTGGACGCCGCAAGTGCACTACGTACGGATGGCGAGTCAATGAATGAAGTAGTAAACCTCCATCCATTGAGGTGGCTGGGACATTTGTTACGAATTCCTAATCACCGACCGCCTCGGCGAACGATGTTTCGTGATGTCGGGGTAGGCTAGAAGAAAGATAGGTGCAGCCGGAACAAAACAGGGCACAAACGCTTAACGTCACTGACAAATGGACTGAGCCATGTTACTAGGTCTATACTGCCAGATTGGGGTTGGCGAGACGAGTATTTTTATACTTTTAGTTCTCGTGCTTATTAAGGTCTTCCTTCTTTGATAACCTCATGAAGTGTCCTTTTTTCCAGTGCCTTGGTATTTATTCTTCCCCAGGTCTTGTTGAAAAGAGTATGAAGCGATTTCGCAGTTACGGTTGTGTCTGCTTTCATGCCTCTACCGGAATGTTTTTTGGTGTTGCTGCTTTGCCGCTGTTGATATGTCGGATGGTGATGTTGATTTGTTTGAATGTTGGTGGGTTGACTTCGATTCGAAGGTCCGTGGTTGCTTCTGAGTTGTTGTGTAGGTGTTCAGTGTGGCTGGTCGATTCAGGAGTTCTTCAAAGTGCTCTATCCATCTGTTTCGCTGCTCGGCATTGTTGGTGATTTTCGTGCTTCTCACTGTTCTGTTAGTTCTAGTTTACGATAGTTTCCAGCAAGCTTCTTTGTTGTATCGTGCGATTGTCGCATGTTTTCTTCTCTTGCGGCTTCAGCGACCGTGTATTGATCTTCCACATATTTATGTTTGTCAGCTGTGATGCGCGACTTCACTCTCTTGTTTGCCTCTGTGTCGGATTTCTCCGTTCTTCTCTGGCTGATATCCATTGCTGCCTTCTTGTTCCTTTTTTCTTGAATTCTTTCCGGAATACCAACAGAAGTCCATTCCTTGTGATGGTGGTTCTTATGGCCCAAAACTTTGTGACATGCTGAAGTCACAGCTGTTTTGATAAATTTCCAGTTGTCCTCCAAGATAGTTTTCTCTTCACTGAGTAGCTCGTCACCGACCTGGAACTTATGGCTGAGATCTATCTGTAATTTGTTGGGTTTGCCAGTATCCCAAAGAAAGTCCGCATTGAACTTTTGTGACGGTGTATGCTTAGTTGTCCAGTGCTTCTGTAGTTTCAGTTTCATTCTGGCCAACACTATGTGATGATCTGAAATTATTTCAGCTCCTCTGTTTGTTATTACCCCTCACATAGACCTTTTGAACTTTTCATTGATGCAGATGTGCTTGATTTTGTTCTCTGTAGTGTGGTCTAGTTAAACCCAAGTAGGTTTGTGTATGCGTTTGTGTGGGAATATGGTGCCGCAGGTCGCTATTTCGTTGAAGGCATATAGATTTGTGAATCTTTCCGTGTCCGTCCCATTCTCACTGTTCATATCGTCCAATGATGTCTTCATATCCAGTGTTATCAATTCCAACCTTTGCGTTTGCGTCTCTCATCAAAATAGTCAAATCATTTACACAGCACCTCTCTGTGGTTGGCCGCAGCCTCTCATAGAGTTGGCCCTTATCACCTCTATTGTTATCATTGGCGAGCACACAGCACTGGATGACATTCCAGGTTCGTGAGATTCTCATCTTACAAGTGCTTTTTGCGCTCCATCGGACATCATCGGTGCAACTTGTGTGTGGGGCATTTTCTTTTTCATGACCGGGGTACTACACCATCTTTCTTGAAGCCAATAGTTTTTGTCCATCCTGCGTTTAGTGTGTTTCGCTTATTCCACGCACCACCATGTTGTATTTTGACTCAGCTTTTTATTTCTTTTTCAAAGGCATTTGAGAGATGGTTTCACAAGTACTTTACTTTATATAGTGTCACTTTGATCGATATTGCTGATAGAGCATCTTACTGGTTCCTAATAACTGTACCTGATTATTTAATGGTCAGTTACTAATATAACAGTAGTCTTCATCATAAAACAAGGGTTTTTCGGTTACTAATTTGTTGTGTTTACTTTTTTAATGTAAAAATTTGACATTACTTTTAATAGAACAAATGTTTGATTTCTGGAAGCGGCTAAATCCGTCCACCTTGACAGTTGAAGAAGCTGAGAATAAAATGTTCCCAGGCATGTCGTCAATAAGTATGAGTTCTCATCGCTCCACTCGAGAAGAAGAAACTATTTACGAAGAGACTCTAGTTGAGTAAGTATATATAATCTTTAAAAAAATGTATCATCTGACCGCTGTTGTCGGCATGTTTATCAATTGTAGTTTTTTATTTTTGGTAGTAACTTTACCTGATTATTTGGTATATATATGGATTTTTGTGCTGATTAGTTACTTACTTACTCTTGCTACCCCTTGTTTAGCATCATCATTCGCCAACGTACTCTAATCTGGGGTTCCCTTTCTAGTTCTATCCAATTTTTATTCATTCTTCCCATGTCAATTTCTCGGCGAAATATTTTCTTTGTTCTTCTTCTTTTCCTTTGGCCCTGTGGATCCGAAGTGAGGGCTTGCCTTGTGGTACAGTTGGATGCTTTCTTCCATGTGTGTCCTATCCACCAACTACAGAGCTTTTTCCTGATATCTTCTTTTGCTGAAGGAATCTGGTTTGTTCTATCTCACAGTAGATTGTTGCTGATAGTGTCTGACCAACGGATCCGAAGTATTTTGCGTAGACGACTGTTATTTTACACTTGTATCTTCCGGATGATGGCTTTCGTAGTTCTCCAAGTTTCTTCAAATAACTATATTTGGTAACAATATAAATCATGTTATGTTACTGATGTTCCTTATTATTTTATTAGCGTCAATGTTTGCCACACCATTAAACTACAAAGTTTTTATACATGACAGAAATTATTGCTTGAATTGTCATACTTCTGTTTTAGTTATGTAAATCTTTTAAGTACCTAGTCTATAGCCACCAAACTTAACGAGCAGCTTATCTCCTTATCGTTGCATGGATGACTGTGTTGAAAGAGAAAAGTTCTGATTCTTGATTCCCTGTCATCATAGTAGTCGAGTTTTTGATGAATCACATTGTTATGTGATGTGATGTTTGCAACAAACTAGTAAGGGATTCGATTTTATGGTTTGGTAAGTGCTGTAATTTATGCGTGTATATACTGATTCAACAAACAAACTATTCAAAATATTTGAGTGTTTTATTTGTCAATCCTTCCTTTTCAGTTCGTGAAATATTCAGATATTTATAATACATCAAATGTTACATACTTTAACTTTGTTTTTATAACCGATTTTTATCATCTATTTATGCGAACATACTTTTTTGCTATATGGAAATTCTCAGATTTTTACGACTATTCTAACAGTTTTCACGGGTTTTTATAAAATTTATAAAGCGTATCATTCCCTGGCGTGTACGCGCGATTTTCTTCTAAATGTGATACATCCGTTTATTGCGAACTGACTTGTACTTTTGTCTTTAGGTCTGTCAACATCTTGGCAACTAATTAGTAGTCCGAATGGCTATTTCAGCTTAGATTCTCTCTCTTAGTGGTGCATGAACGCTAACGAGGTTCAATTTTATAGTACGAAATATTGGTTAGAACCTGGTAAACAAACCTCAGAAATAAACAGACATAACCCCTTTATACTTGGTTGCTGGAGCGTAGGTTGTAACCGATGTTCAAGCACACATACTTAAACAAGTGCGATAGTAATAATAGTACAAAAATATAAAAAAGTATTTACGGTTCAAATGATGCTGTCTGTTAAATAAGTTTATAAATGGGCTTAACCGAATAAAACGTAAACCGATGTCCACTCATTTAATGGAGAATAGTATGATTGAGATACCACACCCACAACTCGCGCCACGAGTGGTCTTAGCACCAATGATTGGGCCAGACAGTCAATTACAATGTAGGACTTAGTATGTACGTACATCAGTACGAGTCGCCATACCAAACCTCAGAGAAATGGAATTCTCTATTCAAATTCCATAGTGGCAAAGGTTTAGTAATATTAACGGTAATGGAAAAGATTAGGGTTGACAGATATTATTCAGGAAGTATAATCCGAAGAAATAAATTTAAAATGACAAGAGAGAGGTCATGAGGTATTCGGAAGGTTAGAATTTGAGAGAAGACAAAGAATGGATGCACCTGCGTCCTTGCAAACGGTTTTGAGCCGTGCCGTTCAAAGTCTCTAGATCCGAGTAAAATCATTAATTTGATTTCACATTGTTCAGATAAAGAATCAACTTGGCTTGCGCTCCGTGTATCTTGTGGCCGTGTGGTTGTTTCCTGTGGTTTGTTATGCTCCATTATGTTTTACTGTACTGAGAGTTTGATTTTAATTTTTTCGGTTTATTTCTCATGATTAATGTACTGACCTGTTGTATTCATCACTGATGCTACTTGTCTTCCTTTTTTAAACATGTATTAGTATTTGTCATTAAACAGCACATCTAGTATAGACAGATCAGCATCCTATTCTGCTCTTTTGTTATCGACAAAACAAAACAGTGTATAGTATTCAATTAAATCATCTTTCTCTCCACTCTACTAACTTTTATTTTAGAACTAGAACTAGAGGCCACTAAATCATTAACTTCATGTTTACTGATTGTAACCATATTATCCTTGCTACCAAAGAATTACTTTGGTGAATATAATTTTCTACCTATAACACAATTTTTACTTAAGTTGATTTTTATTTCTTCTGTGTACTCTTTTCAGGACAAAGCGTACTGATTTTACGTATGGTGATAGGTATGTTCTCAAACTTGATTGCTATTTTCATACTACTTTTATTCCATCTAAATATCAACCAAAATTAAGTCAATTCAAAAGCTCAAGATCTTTTGAACTATACTTAGCTCTCCGTTCCAAGTTCAGAGTAACCTCAAGAAAGCTGATCAAATTTATAATTAAAATTTTCGTCTTTAAATCTAATCAATCACTGTTTGAATCCGATGTCACCTTAATTATTGTGAAGCATTTCAGACTTTGTCGTGATTTAGTTGGAAGATAACCTATTGGACTATGTAGCTTAAGTTTACGACAACTATCATTTCGGCATATTGCCTATAAGTTCGCATTCAGAAATTAAAACTTATCGAGTTTAGTCAGTCAGTCACGTTCAATGTAGAACTTCGTACGAACGTACATAAGTTCAAGTTGCTATACCACATTAGCACAGATTCGCGATTGTCAGTTCAAATCCCATAGTGGTGAACATAGAAGTACTACTGGTAATGAAGAAGATTAGGGTTCGAAGATATTATTCAAGAAGTATAATTCAGTGAGATCAATTTAGAAACAGAGAGAATTTCGGAGAACATGAAGAGCGGATGCACCTGTGCAATTGCAAACGATTTTGAGCCATGTCAGTGACTTCATTGACTTGTGCCATGTTTTGGTTTGGCCGCCCCTTGCTGTCTTCCTACCTTCTCCTAAACCACAAAATATCGCTCGTCAAGGCAGTCGGTGGTCGGGCATACGTAACACATGTCCCAACCACCTCATCTGATGAAGTTTAAATACTTCATCAATCGATTAGCGATCGCATGAAAAGTCAGACGAAGATAATGCTACCTCTAAAAATATGTCTATGGCAATATTAAACAAGAACGGAGAAAGTTGACAGCCAGTTCTGCCTCAAGAACTAATACTATATCCACACCATCAAGTCCATGGGAAACAACCACACGGCCAAAAGATACACGGAGCGCAAGCCAAGTTGATTCTTTATCTGAACAATGTGAAATCAAATTAATGATTTTACTCGGATCTAGAGACTTTGAACGGCACGGCTCAAAACCGTTTGCAAGGACGCAGGTGCATCCATTCTTTGTCTTCTCTCAAATTCTAACCTTCCGAATACCTCATGACCGCTCTCTTCTTTTATAAATCAGTCGCCTTCTTCACTTCTCTTTACCTGCCAATCCACTCGCTGGTGTGCTATCCTTGCTCTGTGTTTGTTCTCTGGTGTTTCAATTTGTGGTGTGTCAGAAATAAATTTCTTCAACCTCTCTTGTTCATCTTCTGATTTAATGTCGTTAGGCGGTACGTAGTAACGATTGTCTCGACGAGCAAATTACGAAGACTAAGATTTCGTTTGATATCAACCGTCACGTAACTAGTGATACCTATATTGGAAGTCTGATCATCCCTGATAGGTTTGTCGGATAAAATTTTGGGACAGATTTCGTAAATCCGATTAGCGCCTGCCCAGTTGCGTTACTTAATGCTTAGACTAGATATTCATCTTTTAATCAATGGGCGTTTATACTGCGCGACCTTCTCCTCTGTATTACTCTATAGCTGTTAAATATGATGTGTTAGGGTAGAATACGAGTGTAGTAAAGGCTTTTGATCATAGTTGTCTTCAAGATATCGCTCGCCTGTTAGGTAACAACCTACGGAGCATTTTTGACGTAAGCTACTAGGCATTGTCGGCTAACAGGTTTGGGAAATCGGAAATCTTCGACTGAGATGTTTGAGATAAGTTTCATATGTCTAGCTACTCACTTACCTCTATGTGTTATCCGTGATGGTGTAGAAGTAGGTCGGAAAAAAGCTGTTAGTGGCCAATTTAAAACGTGGAATCAGTCCATAAGATCATCAACTGTTGATCTGAGGCATGTTTTTAAATGCTGGCTACCTGTTTGGGGTCTGTGTGATAACCGTAAACAGTCATTAGAGACTGAGTGATATGCATCTCTTTACTTTCCTCTCGATACTAAATTCCAACATCCTTTCGTAAATACTTTTCTACTCACTCTTTCCGAGTTCTGATCTTAATATTTAGTCCATCTTATTATAATTGCTACTTGTTGACTTCGATCCCTCTACTATTTGTATGTTGTCGCGCTTACCGGGTGTAGCAACTATGGCAAATTTAGTTTTGTGTCAGGTTTTAGGTGAATGTTTCATATCTTTTTTCATCGCATACACCAGTCTTACGGATTAATAAAAATGCTTGAATGCTAACGTATACACATTGCTTGTAGTATCACAACTAACTAAATAACAAAAGTATTCAAACATTCTGAAATATTCTTTCATCAACATTATAAATTTTTTACTGAATTATCAGGGATAGACGTCAAATATGTAATATCTGAAATAGATGTAAGTTACCGCACTTCGTCACACAGCTCATATGCATAAATTGACATTTTTCTCCCTGATTCGTTCGTCCTTAACGTTTTCACTCACTACCATCTTAGTCACTGTAGCTCTTAGAAGTAGGTGGTAATTAACTCTGTATGTTACATTTTATTCAAACCTATAGACAAAAATATACGTCTTCATGCAGTAGTTAATGCTCCTTATTTAGTATTATTGTTTTTTATTCAGTCGCTTTACCATTCTGTAAAGATAACCTATGTATGTGGTCGTCTCACTCATTATTTCGCATTAACAAATTAATACAAACGTAATTCTGAATTACAACGCTCTCTTTAGTCGCTAATTGAATTTGATTATCCCGTATATTTCTGTTCTCATGAAATATATTTCGTGGGTTAGTTTTGAGAGAAGCTTAAGCTTAAAAGTTGTTTTCATCTAAATTTTAATTATCTGTACCTTTCACAGTTATTGAAGGCTAGATAATTTTGATAATTTTGAAAATGCTACAGGCACCAGTAACATGCGCTTATTTTTGGTGTTTTCTGTATTTGACCAAATGAAATGAGACAGCTAAAGGATAACATCTTTACGGCTGGTGGTTTTTAATCCCTTCATATTCATGGAAAATGAACGCAAAGCTTCGTTATCTTTTTCAAAAGTCTTTCTCCTCGTAAACTCTTTACCCATTTAAATGAAAACTTCTTTCGTAATTCTGCTACGTTTTATCAATTTCACGTGCATTTAGCTTATATTTTGTAATCTTGAGAAGTAATTGTAGTGGCTATATACTCTCAAACCAAAATTCATAGCATAAGTGACTGATAGTCTAAATAGTTTTCAACGAATATTTTCTACTGCTAGAAAGAAGTTTATTGTACAGCTCAACTCATATCAGATACTTTCTTTCGAGATACAGGTTTGAAGTAATTTATTCTATCAATAACAGTTTGTTTTCGTTAGTCGTTGATGGTTTCTTTCGATACCATTCGATATGAAACAACTAATTGTATACGCATCACCATTAAATTATATAATTTACATAACATAGATTACCACAGTTTAGGTTTGATTTTTCTCTTTTCTTTATGATCTAACTTTCTTGGCTTTCTGATGTCTTTCTTAAAATACACGATTTTGTCAGTATGTAAAAGTCGCACGTTCTGTGTCTGCTGTTATAAATGAGGTAAAAACTGTTAGAAGTCAACTATCTGATGCTTTACCAATTGTCTCAGTTTTTTTTATTGTTCATAAGAGCTTTCATCACTTGTTCTTTTTTGATTCTATTTATTCATATCAGTATGTGCTTTATTTGGTGAAAGGGTTAATTTCACTTAATTTGTACAGAAATTTCGCTTTTTTTAATGTCTTCAATTTTATAACTGTATAATGACCAAAGTAATCATTTTCGTAAAACTTAGATTTCTTTTGTCTACTCATCAGTTTAATACGTTTATCCCAACTGTGGAGATTTACTTGCTGTCTCATGTATGGGTTATAACGTATTACAGGGTTGAACAATGTTTTCTCAAATTTCAAAAATAATGCATAATGTTTTATCTAGAAATGCTACATTTGTATGTCTTCCTATTTAAGTACCAAAAGGAGTTTATTAGTAAATACAACGGACTTCATTGGTATGTTGTTGATTTTAATAGCATTTTTGTCTTGGGTGACTGCTAGAATTCGATCATTATCATCGTTATCAATCGTTGCCACTTAGTAATTAAGGTTTCTTCCATTTACGAACAAATTTTCAAAGTCCAAGTCGTTTATACTGTTGTTACAAGTTGAACGACGGATTTTAGAACTTTTTTTTTCAACGATACCTTTTTTCACGCAAAATAATTTCTTCTTTCGATCATTGCTACTAATATTTAATAATGCCAGCACTGATTTCCAGGCAATTAATTTGAAATAAATAGTGAGTAAACATGCTTGTTTTCATACTATTAGGTAGGTTATTTTATTTAAACATATAAACATTGGTACAAGGGGGGGGGACATTTGTGGAGGGGCTAGGATACTGCTTGAAATCCCGAACCGAAGCAGGTTGTTTTCTCAAAGATCCACACCTCAAGTCTTTAACCTAAATTCTAACCCACAAGTCTGTGTAGCCGGTGCCCAATAATAGGTTTATATACCATTCGTTCCATCAGGGTACTGGAGCCCGCGTACACTGTTGTTTTGAAATCATGTTTTTCCAAATTCACCAAACTTAAGCAACGCGCAGTAGAACTGTCTTATGTTTGTATTGCAAATCATGATTTTTGTGTTAACCGACAGTTGATTTGAGTTCCGGATTTTCTTCAGTTGTAGAAATGTTATCCTTACTTTGCCAATCTGTGCCTTCACATCTGTATCTGTTCCACCTTACTCATCAATGATGCTACCCAGTTATGTAAATCTTCCCACCTCTTCCAGAGCTTCTCCGTTAAGTGTGATTTGATATGTGCATTCTGTGTTGCGCCTAAGGATCTTACTTTCTTCCTCGTGTATGTTGAGGCCTGTTGCTGCAGAGACTACTGCTGAATTAGTCGTCTTCAAATGCACTTGTTAGTGTGTATGGATTTGAGAAGCTAGGTCATCTGCGAAGTTTGAATCACTTAGCTGCTTCCGAGTTTTCGACTGTATTCCATGCTTCAGCTTTTCTCCATGCAAGAATTTTCGGTTTAGTGCGTCTTAACAATTCTGTATGATGTTGACTATCTCCTCAGGTATACTGTATTGTCATCCTGTCCACGCTGTCGAATGCTTTCTCATATTTGAAGGAAATGATGTATAATGATGAGTTCTATTCAGTTGATTATTCCACAGTTATCGGTAGCCTCGCGATTTGGTCTGTACACGATCGATGTTCACGGAATGCAGCTTGCTGACCTCAAAGTTGAGTGTTTACAGAATCTTTAATTCAGTCCAACAACGCTCTGCTGAAGACTTGGCTAAGTACTGATAGTATTGTTATGCTTTTAGTTCTTGCGCCCATTAAGGTCTTCTTTCTTTGATAACCTCATGAAGTGTCCTTTTTTCCAAGTCCTTGGTATTTGTTCTTCCCCAAGTCTTGTTGAATCGAGCGTGGAGCGATTTCGCGGTTATGGTTGTGTCTGCTTTCATGCCTCTACCGGAATGTTTTTTGGTGTTGCTGCTTTGCCACTGTTGATATGTCGGATGGTGATGTTGATTTGTTTGAATGTTGGTGGGTCAACTTCGATGAAGCTGAAGATACAGCTATCGTTCAATTAAATCTCATGCTAAGCACTGTACTTATACACATTGCGTCTTTTTTTGTGGAATTAAATTACTCAAAATAAATTAACCTCATCCCACAGTTCTTGTTGTCCTTTCTGAGATTCTCATTTCCACATAAAGATGAAACTAACAAGATCAGTCTATCATGTAAATTGTTTTCGTCTTTTTTTTCCATGTGAATCTTTGTGCCTAAACTTTAGTCACTTGAAGTCAATTTTAAGTATCCTGCTCATTAAACCTGCCTTTGTTATTACCTATTAATTTGTCAATCTTTGTGATCATAAAAACTAAGTATACATTACATTCACTCAGGCAATTTTTACAAAATGTTTATAGTCTGTTAGTTTTTTGTTCGCATATTTATACCGTTCGAGTGATTTTAGTTAGATAAAATTCTTTTCACATGACAAATATATGACTAAACGGTCAACAACGTGTAATGTAAAAAATCATCAATAAACTTAGTACAAAAATTCTTACACAGGAAGAGAGTATGTAGTAACCTGATTAGTACACTTTACTTTATTACCTACATTCTTTTTTAGATCCGACGTGTATATTTTAACAAGTGTAACCGTTTTAATTGCCATGCTTTTTTCAAAATTAGCGGGAGTTATCGAACGGACCGTTTACATGATACTTGGATGCCTCCGAATATGTCTCGTTTACCTTTAGGATCATCAAGTTAGTTAATTTACTTTTATTTGTCTCCCCCATGAATTAATTGATCTCATCTGGTGATGATCAAATTTTTGAATTTTTCAGTGTAATTATGCAGTGTTTAGCAGCGTTTTATTATTTTATTGAAATCTTGAATCAATCATTGTTAGACCACCTAGAAGCACTAGACAGCCGTTCTCTTCTGTTGTGAGATTTTGCTGCAGTGCGCATTCACGTCTCCTTGATCGCGGAACTCGATTCCATGACCTTCGGTCTCACGCGTAAGCGCTGAACCTATAATAGTGGTTTAATCAATGATTGATTTATTATTTTAGTGAAAAACAGCATCTCCGTAACTCTAACGAAAAACTTTTATTTGTCTAGTTAAAAACTTGATTGAATATAAACAAATTAGCTCTGGTTATCGAATAAACTTCAGAAAAATGAGGAAACTGTCAAAACGTCATAGCTGCCTTTTATTATACAACCCAGGATTTCATCAAGTTCAATCTTATCTGTTAGTTTCGCAACACTTATACACTGCGCTAAGTTACGGAAAATTGCAGGCAGTAATACATCGTTCATAATACGCAGTGTTTTAAATTTTTTTCGTGTATTACTTGTTTCTTTTCATCATGTTTGTTTCGTTTTGACTCGTTTTATGAATTTCTCTTATTACGTTAGTTTAAAGTAGATAAGTCCGTTTCTCACTTGTAACCTTCATTCTACACCATTACCCTATAAGTCTTTGATGTTATTTTAACTCCCTACAATCAATCTATTGTGCTTAACCTGCTTTGTGATAATTTACTTTTGTTTTTCGGCGACCTCATGAAATCTCTTCATCGTCATTTAGTCCCTTTGTTTTATACCTTCACTGATTTCTTGCTTTCATTACTTATTTTGCCTTGTCTTGTTTTCCCTAAATATTTATCGCTTCCTCTACTTTCTGAATGATCTTGGTTCCTCGTGGTTCAACCGTTTTCTCGATAGGAAACGCTTTTAATTATTTACTATAATTGTATTTATTTCTTTAATACTGCATTCAATCAGTCAGTCAGTTACAACTTGCCATACCATTATTAGCACAGAGACGCAATTGTCGATTCTCATAGTAGTAAAGATAGTAGAAGTTTTAGCAGGGTTCGACTATATTCAAGAAGTAGAATCTAGTGAAATATACTTAAAAGAAAAAGTTAAAGGTGATGAGGAACTCCGAAGGTGAGGATTTGATAGAACACAAAGAATGAATGCACCAGTGCAAACGATTTCGGGCGATGTCAATACAGCATTATATAACATTTACAAATATATCTTACAAATATAATTGTCTGACCAAATAAGAAATCATTAATCGATGCTAATCACAATTAACCTATATCTAACAAAATTATTTTGATCAAGCAGTGTCTCCATGTAAACTGACATCATTATTCATGCACTTATTCTTTCATCCTTTTTACACGTCGTTGCTTTTATGTAAGCTGCGTAATGCGTTAAATAATATTTTGCATTGAAATAAAATATTCCGTACTCTTATTTGTATAGCTTAGTTTCTGCTTTGTAGGATTAACTTGAAACTATCCTCCTTAATTTTGGAAATCCAGAAGTCCTATATATGTCACTTTATAAACTGGTGGGTTGATAGGTGCGGACTACTTGGTTGGTATCCTCGTGACTACCACGATTATTAGTTAGTGGAGTTTAATGTTATGTATTAGAATCAGTCATAAAGGTGCGATTGCATTCATTCTTTGTCCTAATTTTGGATCCTAAGTTTCCTGATTGTTTTATCGCTGTTATTTCAAAAATTGATCCTTTCTCTTATCTCAGTCTGAGTTTTTCTTATTACCGCGGATATTACTATCTCCATTACTTTACCACCTATCCTGTTATGCTAGTGTGTTATGGTAACTTGGATCGATGAGCATTTGTTCCATATTTCTACACTGAGTGGGTTGTTTTACTATCCTCTTGCTTTTTGTGATCAGTTTAATAATTAGTTTCTCAGTCTAGTTATGCTTGATGGTTTAAACTAATCAGTTCGTTTTTATTTTTTGCATTTTCTACTTGTGCTGCGAAAATTTGCTCCACCTATCATGATTAATCATGTACATACGATGGACGGATTTATAATTTTTTAATTCATAGATATTTTGACCCTTATCACCCATCTTTTATTTAAATCTATATTTTCCATTCATATTCAGTTTGTTTTTTTCGATTGAGACATTGTGAATAAGAAATATGAGAAAGAATAACGTGAAATAACAAGTCATGTTTCCGTTTTATTTTTCATGCGCATTTTTAGAAAACAGATTTATACCTTGGATGAGCGTTTAGCACAAATACGAATTTCAATATTTTCTCAAAAGCTTGTACATAGTGCAGATAGCTGGATTACATTGTGACTTACGGACACACACTTTACCAAGCTGTGTGTATTTTCACGTGTATGTTTCTTCATACACTGCTGACATTAATGTTGCAAGCTGATCTCCACAATCATATGATTAAATTTAATCATTATTGATTTATCGATTACTGTATATGTTAAACTAGATGATTTGCTCTTGTTGATGTTGAACAAACTGAATGTGTAATGTTAATTATTCTGAATCAACATCGGATCTTTATGATATATGTTTATGTACTTGGCTATAACTTTCACATTGTTGTACAAAGTACTATTTTTTTATGAAATACATCACTTTGTGTAGAATTTAATTCGTCCTCGGGATTATCAAGTCGTTCAACGATTTCGACAAGTCATTCTATACAACCAATGTCAAGTCGTCTTTCATCAAAAGCTGGGAGTCCAACCATGTTGCGAACAAGTATTTCAGAAAATATTGAAGAGGATGTCAGTAGCAGGTAACTGGACAATATATATATATATATATATATATATATATATATATATATATATATGATACAACTGTACTCATCGGATTTACAGACTGAAAATAAATGTGACAGCAATCACGTAATTAGTAATTTTTTATACACTGTGACAAAGGAACGAAAAAAGAGTTGGTCGTGGAAATAAGAGAGTTGTTCGGAGGTGTAGAAAGGATTTGATTGTGATCGATTTGGTCTCGTGTGCTTTTACGGGTATGAGGGCGGATGTTACTTCCTGACTGCACACACCGCGGAAGGGTTTTGGTTTTTCAAAGGGTCGTCGACCTCGTGACTTCTGAAGGAACTCATCTCTCATGATTTTGGACCTCATAACTCTTCTAAATGAAGAACTTCTAAATGGTTTGAATTATTTTTTCTTGACGGCGTTTTTTAGTGAGTTAGATTTATACTGGAAGGGGTCACCAATTTCATGGCTTACTCTCCTTTATCAGGGCTTGGTACCTGCAGTAGCCCTGGAGGGGTTTCATGCGGAGCTGGTCCTCGGGTGGGTTTTAGTGAATCTTATATTGTTGATATACTTGCATAAGGTAGGACTAGTTTTCACTGATTTACATTAAACCATCGTTCACATACTCGCTGAATACTGTCATAATTCTCGGATCTTTACGATTATATTTATTCCTACGTCAACACACGTATTCTCGCGAACGTTTGACTTATTGACTGTTTAGTCACGATTCCCCGGTATTTATGTCTAACTTCAGTCAGTTGATATTGCTCAACCCTCACCCAATATCTGTGGTAAATAACTGTCTTCTACCCGACAGGAATTGAACTCCGATGGTCACAGCTCACTAGAACTCCACGAATTCATCTAGATACTGGTATCTCACACGAGATCGAAGACCATGGATGTGTACTGTTGAGGATTTGCGTATTATTAAAAAATCTCTGTCTAAAGCTTTAAGGTTTCTAATGCTGGTTTAGCTAAAATCAGTTTGTGATTTCAGCCATATTTGAAGTCCCTCCAGTAATTTAGAAGTCCTCCCGATTCTTTAAGTAGGGGACTCAGATAAGCTTTATTCGCTGTAATTTTTTTGTCCAGATATTCTGACTTCTCTTCTAACAATTCAAGTACCTCAGAATCCAGACTACTGAGATCGACAGCTAAAAAATTTAAAAATGAAAGGATTGGTTTCCGTAAACTGGTATCAAGGGAATTTCAAGTAAGTTCTAATAATCGTGTTACATCAACTTATCTTTTTGTTTCCAATGCTTATCACAAGAACAATACCTTTTCACTAATGTATGTCTAGTACAATATTGAATTATTAGTACATATAATGCAAACTTAACTTTGATTATAACCGATCATCTAATTCTTCTGTGTAACTCTACAGATAATGCACAGATTATTGTAGGCCCGTAGTCACGACTACTGATAATAGTTTTCTGCTTTCTGATCAAAATAAAATATTTATCTCAATGATAGTTGATGCCAAGTCGAAATAGAATTCTCCAAAGATTTATTTCGCCTATGAGTATTTCTTCAAACACATTCTACAGAACTGTCGAATCATTGTTGGTGTGAATATAGTTAAAACTATTGAAACAGATTGTTTAGTATCTTGTCCGTACGAGTTCACTGATTGCCTGTTAAATAAAGACATGTTAAATGAAAACCAGATTAAGTCAGATCTGTGGGGTTTTACAGTGAAGTATCATTGATCATTTGAGTTATAAACTTAACTATCAGTTGTGAAGTGAACTGGCAGTTTAAAATTTGTTCAGTATGAGCGCTGATGTGATACAGACTGTATATAGTTATTAGAAGTAGATGCGGTTAAATATTTAAAGTGTTACGCCAAGGTACATCGGTGATAGCTTACGGAACAGAGATTCCTGTTTGTCCACCTCAATTAACTTTAACTAAAAATTATCGTTGAAATAAATAAAATTAAGTGAAATTGTATTTTTAATAACCTGATTTTTTCGAATATATCCTTGCACACTTTATTAGGTGGCGCATGATCTACGAGGGGGTAATAGTAATACTAATAACTTAAGACTCCACGATCAACAAAAGGAATCTATAATTACTCCGATAGAACGAGCAAGAGGACCTCGTAAGTCTGAAAGAATAGCTTCAAAAAATCAGTCAAATTCACAACAGTCATTGGCTCAGATTGACGTTGATACTAGTGATGGTCAGGAAACAACTTCCCCTTCTTTATCATTAACATCAACATATATCTATCCGAGTGAACTACAATCAACGTTGGATCCTATGATCATGTCATCAAAGGCTTCACAACAGTCTAATCAAGTATATAGTGGTGCTGGTAGTTCAGTAACCAAAAATTATGATCCCTGGAGTAAACGTATTTCATCCATATGGGGAAGGTTGTCAAATAATAATCTGTCCTCAATCGATTCAAACAATAATTTTAGGTTGGGAATAATTCTTTCTGTATATTTAACCGTTTGGTTTATGCAATTGATATTTTTATGTTATCTTTATTTACATTGTTGAACTATCTTATCGACCAACCGGTAGTAATGTAAATTTTTCAAAAAAATAATGGTAGGATCGATGAACGAAAACTGAGACTTTAACACATGTTGGTCCTCGAGTTAATTAAAACCTGGTGTACAAACAAAAGACGAAATCAACGACCAGATAAGATCTCTGTAGCGTAGTTGCTTCGTTAGATGACTCAACTCATTATGTTGTATGAGTGACAGGATCACACACTAGCATGCAGAAGAATCTGCAATGTAACGCGTAACTACATCAAAAGTGAGAAAAAAAATAAGTGAAATTTTCGAACTTATTAGTTGTAACTTCAGATAAATAAAGCACACTAATAATTGATGGACCGTATGAGAGATAACAGATCGAAGGAATTAATTACGTAAAAATTCAAATATCTAATCATTATACAATAAAAGTGTAACAATAATTCTTTGTAATATAGTTCCACAAGTTAAAGCTTTCTGGATATTCATCTTGTTATAACAATAACCATTTATCAAAGCAGAGTTTAAAAGTGTTTATCTAATTTATCTTTTTTGCTTCAGTATTACGCTGTCTTATTTGTCGACTTTGGCTTATTGTGTAGTTTGTCGATTCAAATCCCATACTATATCTACCTTTATGGTATTTGAATAGACAATTGCATGTTTGTGCTGCCGTGATATGGCAACTTGGACTGATTGATGTACGTACGTACAAAGTTCTACATTGTAACTGACTGACTATTATTGTATAGTATGTGTTGATGCGCAGCATTATATCTTTACTGTTGAGATTTATAATTTGATCAAATTTACTTGCTTCACAAAGCAGTAAACGATCTTCATACTTACCTTTTCATGTTAACCTACTAAACGTATTTTTCCTTAAGATTGTAATTTTGTTGTTGTAGAATGCATCATCTTCATAGTGTACTGCATATGAATATGTGCAATAATAATAATGCCATACAATATGTACATAACTTCCACTAGTCATAAAATCATATTTTGGTATCAGTCTGATTATGTTGTTTATTTAGTTTGAAAACTATTAACAAGATGGAAAAGTCATATTATCCTTAATTTTGAATCACTATATATAGTGATTTCAAACTTTCCATTGATATTGTAATCCCTAGTTATTCTTCAAGTTAGTCATGCATTTGATAAAAATATACTTGGTGGTAGCTTGGAATGGATAACAAACAAATGAGTCAACGAAGATTTACTAATTCACAGAAACAATTAAGTTTACTTAACCACCAACAATTATGTTAAGTTTCTTCGGTATATTTGTCAACTGAAGTACATACAGACGTAACTTATGAAAATGTCTACGGTTCTTTGTTGCTTTTATCCCGTTAATAAATATTTCTCAAAATGTAACGATTTTACCGTGTTGTAAAGTTGTCGATTAGAATGTAGGTTTTGACTTTTATATTGTTGCTAGCATTCTACTCTTAGAAAAAAGCCAGATATGCTAGATTGATTAACTGGCAAATTTTTCGCAATTCAATCACGTTTGGATTGACAGTTTTGGTAGTTTAATTTAAACTAACAAAAAGCGAAGTGATTGAATTTAAATCGCTTATTATTTAAATCGCTTGCAGTCCGATTGACATTATTTATGTGGATTTTCATAGTATTATTAGTCATTGTATACTGACAATAAATTTTTCAATTTATTAAAATCCACTTGGTTGTTTTGGCCTTATTTTTATAAACACGTTTTTCAAAGTAGGTGTAGAAGTTGTCAAGGTTTAGAGGATTCATTACTGTCAAAATACTTAATTCACAAATTGTACACCTGGTTATTCGAACACTTTATCTCTTCTTTCAGTTTTAATGATACGCGACCTCATATGGGACGAGAGAATTCTAGAGGATGGTTGGCACGTCATATGTTTGGTGAGCTTCTTGTTTAGTGTAATGACTATTGTTTACATATGATACATGATGGTGAATTTTTTAAACCTTGTATTTCACTCCTTGATTCATCGGTTAGAACCTTACTCCTTGCAGATTTTAATTAGTCCCGAACGAGTATAACTTTACATCACACAATCGGTGTGCCTTGGTTCTTGCTACATTAAAGTTATCGGACACTTTATAAAGTTGAGAAAGCGAGATCGAGCAACGGGTCCTGATAGGTTCATCCCTGTGATTTTTAAGGACGGTGGTCCAGTTTTCAGTTACATTGGCTGAGATCTTAGGTGGGATTTGGTAACTGAGCGTAATCCCATCTGGCTGTTCTCACTCCCTGATTGTCCCAATTTATAAGAAAGGACAAAAGTCTTCTAGTGACAGTCACAGCGGAATCAGTCTAACTAATATAGTATCTAAAATATTGGCCTCAATAATACTTCGATGCTTAACGCAAGCTCATGAAGAGCAGACTAGGCTGGTTTCAGTCCTGGACGTGACCGTACAGACCACATCTTCACACTACGACAGGTCCTCGCACACAGACACACATTTAGGCGTCCTAAAATAGTTGTTTTCCTGGACCTTAAGGCGGCATTGGACTCTGTCGATCGTGAGTTTCTGTGGCAGTCTGTCATTGGAAGGTGTACCAAAGAAGTACATTAACCTCATACAAGTTCTCTACTGGAACACTACTGGTCGAGTGAGAGCATATGGCGAACGGTTATCGAAATTCTTTACTTCAAGTGGTGTCCGTCAGGGATGTCCACTTTCTCCATTCTTGTTTAACTTTGTCGTAGACATCCTCTTAGAGTTAACATTAATCTCGTCAGATTTTTCAGGAGTGGACCTTCTACCAGAAAAATCGCTTACTGACCTAGAATATGCCGATGACATAGTTCTATTTGGTGAAGACGCTGACAAAATGCAGAGTCTTCTGACAACTCTAAGCAACAATGCAAGCATGTTCGGGATGCGGTTTTCCCCGTCGAAACGCAAAATGTTGCTTCAAGACTGAGTTGCATCAGCACCTGAACTAGTGATAGGGGGTGAAGCATTCGAGGGTGTTGATCGCTTCACTTATCTGGGAAGTCTCATCAGCGCTTATAGTCTGATGATTGACGAAATCTCAGCTCGGATACAGAAGGCTCGATTGGCTTTTGCCGATTTGCGTCACTTATGGCGTAGACGAGATATCCGTTTGCTAACCAAAAGACGAGTCTACTGCGCAGCAGTTCACTCCGTTCTACAATATGGCTGCGAAACATGGTCGTTAAGAGTAGAAGAGATTCATAGGTTATTGGTATTCGATTACAGTTGTCTTCTAAGCATTACTCGTATATCCTGGGACAACCGAGTGAGCAACGCTGTTATTAGGAATCGGGTGCTAGGTAAGAACGGCAGATCAATAGATGAAGTGATGAAACTTCATCAGTTGAGGTGGTTGGGACATGTGTTATGAATGCCTAACCACTGACTGCCTCGACGAGATATGTTTTGCAGTGTAGGAGTAGGTTTGAAGGAAGCTAGGGGGAGCCAGTCCAAAACTTGGCACAAATCCATGAAGTCACTGATAAATGAACTGAGTTATGTTGGTAGATGTTGGCTATCTGGTTGGGTTCCGCGAGACGAAAGTCATCGATGGTTAGAGACCTTGAATGACATTGCTCAGAATCGTTTGCAGTGGCTCAGATGCTTCCACTCTTTGTTTTCTCTCTAATTCTTACCTTCTGAATTCCTCATCATCTCTCTCTTTCTCCTTTGAAATTTATCTTAATTAATTATACTTCTCTAATCATATCTTCGCTCTCCAATTTACTCCTTGGCTGCTAATACTTCTACTATCGCCATCTTTCTTGGATTTAAACTGACAGTTGCATCTCTGTGCTGATGTTAATTGGCAACCTGAACTGATTTACTCACGTACGAAGTTCTGCGTTGTATCTGTCTGTCCGTCCACAGCAACGTGTACGACTCCCCTGGCATCCTACATTGTTTGTAAACTCCATATACCTAACTTAAGTTTCTCTGGTTGTGAGAAGAGTCATTGTTCTGGTGATTCCTTAAATAACTCAGTTTTCATCATGAGATGTCATAACTCTTCTAAACAAAGGCTTTCTGAATCCCCGGTCAAAGTTACCATGGTTTGCTGTTTAGTGTTGTTTACTGGGCTTGGGATCAGCAGTAGCTTCAGAAGGGCTTCAGGATGATTTTCTGTTGCCAATTAAATGTGGTATCACTTGTCCTAATTCTATATGGCTTCTACCTACCTTTTCTGGTGTCTGTTTAAAAAGAAACAAGGTACCACTGAAGTGAATCACGAAGACTTAAATTTAGAGCTGCGTGTAATAAATAACCAAATGGAAGGTTGTAAAGTATTATGCAGTCTTGCAAAATGCTATTTCTCATATGATAAGATGATTGATTGATTACGTATCTGTTGTGTCTTTTTATACACTACTCATATTTAGTTTATAATTTAGATTTTGAATCTATACGCAACGTTTGAAATAAAATTCAAATTGCTAGCTTTTTTGCGCGCGTAATATTTATTTTCTTTTGAAGAAAGGATATTTTTTACACTTTAGGTTTGGAAAGAGAGACTGCTGAAGATCTTGATTTCGAATCAAAGAACATAGAAAATCAATTTTTGTCTAGTGATGTAGAAGATAACTATGATACGACTATTCCTTTTAATAAAACTAAAAATCTTACCAAACGAAATAAAACATTATTTCATTCTAATCTACCTCGTTCAAACTCAGTTTATTCTGATTCTCTTTTGCGCCAATCAAGATTATGTTTTTACATCCATTGTGTTTTAAACAGTCTACGGAATATGTCTATTCACTGCGTAGCATTTTTAATGGCTTTCATTTATTCTGTTGGAAATATTTTTCTGTATATTCTCAGTTGTTTACCACGTTTATCCCGTCGGGTATTCGCAAAACTATTTAGTCGAAACGATGATTCTTCAGCATCTCTGAATTATCAATCAAGATTACGTGCTGATGTATCAAGATTACAAGCTCCTAAAGGCTCATTCAGGTAAATGTGTAATAATTCTTGCATTTCACCCTTTATCGCGATCAGCATACTTTGGTCAACTTGAAAAGTTGTAACACTGTAATGTATTTGAGTTTAAGTTTCAATCAGTGTAAGATACCATTAAACTGTGCATGTTATTCCCAAGCTAATTATAGAAATAATCGGATGATTTCCATATAAAATAAGGATGAGGAGTTCAATGAATTTACCATTTCATATTTCCCTACCTCATCTTCAACTCCATTCATCCTGAAAAGGTTAGATTATTAATGACCAATAATTGTCAGCATACGTTCATATTGAGAATTGATCTGGAATGTGAATTAAGCGATCGCATTGTATTACAGCGTAGAATATACAAAAGACGAAATCAAATAAAGTTAAGGTTATCTGATTCTTCTTGATACCACTAATATCGTAACTTGAACACAAGAGTAAGGGTGCAAAGTTCAAAACCAAAGATTGGTTTTATGGACTTGGTTGACTCATAGAACAAATCGAAAATAATTTAAGAATACACCACTTTCTAGTAATTAGATTAACGATCCAATCAGTAGAAATTGAACCGAGTTATATCCAATTATAATAATAATAATTCAATTTCATATGTCATTCGTAATCCGATTGATTAAGATATTAGTGACCATAACAAAAATATTTTGTTCAAATCAATAATTCAGTGTAACCAGCAATTTTTTCGTAAAAGCGGCACACGTATATATATATATATATAGTTTTAATCATTTTGTCATCATAGCTAAACTTTTGAAGTATGTGATAATTAGCACTTTGTTCAGTGGTTGTTACATGAATTCAAATCGTGGCTAGTGAAAAAACGAATCACTCAATGCGTCAGCCAAATGCTTTTGATAAACTGAGATGATTTTGCAACTAGTGTTCTGACCGGAGGGTACTCGAACCTCTACATAATCTCCATATTAGTGGGTATTGACTAATTTCATTTAAGCCATAAGCGTATAATAAAGGCGTTGATTATAGCCCTGTTATAATGGAACGACTGATTAATTAGCTTGCTAAAATGACTGGTAACCTAATTTACAGTATGTACAATTGATAGATCTCAACATGTACTGATGCGGAGAACTTCTTAACCACCAATCATACGTTTTTACAGTTCTTTTTAAATACTCCTTTGTTTTGTTATTATAGCAGAACAGTTTTCTTCACAGTATTTTGTATCAAGTATAAATATCTTGAAATATTTTTTGATAAAGCATATTATTATTCAGACTGAAAAAGTTGTATAGTTACTGTAATGCTTTCTTTGTAAATAAAATTTACGATCATAATGAAAAATATTCACAAGTATCGATTGTGCAATGTTCATTTCTACGCCTAACAGTTGTATTTACCTGTTAGATACGTTAGACCACCAGAACTCACTTGGAAAATATCCTAATTTTGTAATTTTAATTTGCAATTTAGAATTTTATTGTTTCAGCGCCAAAGACACTTAGTCGACCTTCAGATTGCACTTCCAACTCGGGAATGCTTGACTGTCATTGGTCGATAGGTTATTTTAGTACGCTATTTTCTGGCTCTCTCAATGATGTTTATTCAGTTGTATAAATAAGCTTGAGTTGTGTGCTTAGCAACCTCGTATTTTCTTGGAGCCTGTAGAATACATTCTGTACGCCTTCTCGAAACTTCTTGATCTAGTTAGCATAGCCTATGACGATTGGATTAGAATAGCCGCTCGTGTCACTGTATCGTTGATCTTCGTTCCGTTTACTGAGTAAGTTGAATTCGTAATAGTTTCAAGCATATCAATACCTTATCGTATACTATACAAACTATCGAATATAATTTCAAGTATATTTTTTGTTCACTTTGATTGTTCATTAATAAATTTCATACACTTTTTAATTCCCTTTTCCCAGTTCTTATACACAAAGAAATGATTTCACTCAAAGCAGACAAGAAAATAGCTGGAATTGGTGCTTACATTTAGTGTTGCCATTATTAATCTTATTGCCTTTATTGTTATTTGTAAGCTTCTTGTTTACACCAATTGGTAAGTATGATCTATATATATGCATGTTAAAGTTGGTTTCATTTATTAACATTTTTCAATTTTTATTATGATACGTGTGCGACAAAATCAAGAAATATAAGTTTAATGGAAAGAAACTTATTTGTGAAGTAAAATTATGTGAAATATTAAAAATTACAAGTTTTTATGCAACATACATAATAGTTGTTGTATAAAACTAAAGTTTTGACTCTTTAGCACAATAAGAGAAGATAAGTTTAAATTGCTCATTGAAAGAGAATCATTAATTTTAGTCTGGAGTATTTGATTTCACTTTTATTTTTTTTAATATCTTTGATGTATTTTATGTAGTTCGAGAATTCATACACTTTATCTTAAGATTCCATTCAAACTTTCAAATTCTCATACGATAAAATTAATTATACTTATTTATTACAGATTACCTATCAGATAATTCATCTTTAAAATTGTCTCCATTTTTGTCTGATTCTAATTGTGTGTATGAATTATCTGAGCCACGACCGAATAATACTCATCTTTGGAATTTATTTTTATGGAGAACACGTTGTCTTTATGTTCGTTATTTTCTGTCATCAAAGTTCAATGAGGAGAATAGTAGCTCTGATTGGTGGTCATGGATTCCATTATACAGTTCAAGTAAATCAAACGATCAAATGATTTTTGATACAGGTAACTTCACACAATTACTTTTTCACTTGTTATTTATTATACTTACCATTTCCCTTGAAACATTTATAGAAGCAGAATTCAATGTTTTAATCAAATTCAATACATTATCGTTTATCTCTTTATTTTTCTTAAGAAAACAATCTTCAAGTAAGTAAAATATGAATACAAGTATATGAACAGCGTAAGATTGTGTGTATACACGTTGGATGGTGTGGAATATTAAACAATTATTATGGATTTCGCTGTTGACTTTTCTTGATATTTAACAATAAGGATTTGTTAAATAGGGGTTTCATGATATCGGATTCTCAAGTGTGATGTCGATAACTGTCATTACAGCGGCTGTAATAACTATTTCTTGAAAAGATTAAACTGTGAGAAAATCATTAGCTATCTCAATAATAGAAAGCATAATTTAGCCATTTGCCAAGATATCTGGTCCGAATAGTGTGCAGATACCTTTTATTCAGCGTTTAATATCAAGGATTATGATTTTAAATACATGTTAGATCTGTCAATTTTTTGTTGCGGGCATCTATAGAGATGATGTGTATTGTTAAATCTTCTTAAAATGTGACATTGATTGACTTATGTAATGTGAAGTCGATTCTGAAGACAAAAATTTGTCACTTTTAATTCTTTCGGTGAATCGAACTTGATCAGTCTAGTGTTGTTTATTGAATGAAATGTCCAGATATAGTCTGTTTGTAAATAATTTCTTACTTCTGTGTAGAAAGCCCATCTTTAGCACAGTCAGTCAGTTAGTTACAACGTAGAACTACGTACGTAAGTACATTAGTTGCCATACCGTATTATCACAGATACGCCGCTGTCAGTTCAAATCCCATAGTGGTGCAGAAAGTAAAAGAGCTACTAGTAATGAAGAATGTTAGGGATTGAAATCTTCAGCTCAATTTGAATTTAGATATTAGGATATTTATACTTATAAATGAGGAGAATTTTTTACAAGTAGGATTTATTATACATATTTCAGGTTTACATTTATCCAAACAAATCTATTGATTACTTAAGTGTTCATTTGCACGTCTTAAACATTCAGTTTCCTCATTCCTAGTTTGTAAGTTCAGTGAAGGAATCTGCATTTAAACTTTTGCCATCTGCTGTTATCATTTTGTATCTTTCTTTGGGTGAACTGTTTTTGCTTAAGACACAACTTCTGCAAGTAATTAAACTGATGGATAAAGTAAATGAAATAACTTGGTACAAACATATGGAAGTTTCTTACTCAGCGCATCCTAATTCCAACACGTCACTTATATATATATATTGTCTACAACACATGTTTCACTTTACTCTTTTGATTTATTTTTTTTTCAGACTAAATCTACCGACGATTGTTTCATTGTTTCATTTTACAAAGCTTTAAATACACTCGACAATTTTTAGATTTTCCAAATGCCATTTTATTCACATAGAATAATAATACATTTACAATGAAATGCTATTCTATCATAAACTTAATAGTTGTTCTTTTTAAGAATATGGTATACAAGTTTATTTTTTTTTCACATGTGCCATCTTTATCTGTATGCACAATTTTACACATTTTATTAAAGGGAATCTGAGTGATGAAACAGCAAATAAACTTATTGAAAAGTTGGCATCGCTTTCTCAGTCAGTTAATAGGCGTTTAGACCTACTGTCACAGTAAGTTGTGTGATTAGTTTTTTCTCTATTTTTTAATCTAAACTCAATATTTTTTCGTATGAACTATGATCGCTGAAATTCGCAGTGTCATACTTAAGTAAATCAAGCCTCTGAACATAAATAAATCTAGGGTTTTAAATATTTCCCAATTTGTAATTCTGGATGATTTCTACAAAAGATTTACTTATTTGGACTCCACCAAATCCACAGTAAATTTGCTGAATAATATCCAAAATTTATCCTATATCGATTAATTTGTTAACAGCATTAAAGCAAAGTTAATTACTTGTCAGCTGATGAAGATTCCTTATGTACTTATTATATGCTAGACATAGATATATTCTATAAAGGTTCCCCCTCTGCCATTTAACTTTAGTTTATGATATCTCGTTAAGTGTTTACTATTGCAACTAGAAAGGCAGTTGATCAGCCATGTAAGGCGGTTCAGAATGATATCCGAAAAGCTGTGGAAGCAACAGCGAAATTGGTATGCTCACCAATTAATATGCTTGAAACCTAACGAGTTCACCCTACTCGGTAAACGTGTTAGTGGGACATAGATGGATTAAAGCATGACTGCGTTGGCTGCACGCTGATTGGCTAATTTCCTATCCAATCAGCGCCTGTCCCATACTTGGAGAGCAGGCTAGAAAATTCTCGTGTTGTTAGCTGCATGGTGATTGGCTAAATCAAATCCGGTCAGTGCTATTCAATCACGTGAATTACATTCCAGAAGCTTATCATGTAAAATCTATAGGGACACTGACGTCGTATCTTTTTTGCCTTTGTCCTCTTATTTCCATTTAAATCTGTTATTTGGAATATAATCTTTTTCCTGTTCCACCGTGTTCTGATTTTTGGAACTTGTCCAGTGTATTGTGGTCAGAGAACACTAAGCAATACAAATTAGCTGGGAATTATTAAGCGAGCGTTACAACAAAACGGACTGAAGATCAACAATACAGTGACTCGATAGGCTATTCGAACCCGATTGTCCCAGACCCAACTAACTAGATTAAAAAGTCTCAATAAGGCGTAGAGAATGTATTCGACAAGCATCTAGAAAATACTAAGGTTTCTAAGCACATAAATCAAGCCTATTTATACAATGATAGAAACGCCTTTGGGAGAACCACAAAATAGCGTATTAAAATAATCCATCGACCAACGACAGTCAAGGATTTTCTGAGTGGGAAATGTAAGCTGAAACATGGAAAACAGGGGAATTCAAAATTTCAGAATAAAATTACAAAATTAGAACTTTTCCAAGTGAGCTCTGGGGATCTAACACCCTCAGCAGACATCTACTCGCGAGGTAAACCATAAGGTTATGCGGAACCATCAGTAGCATTTGCTGACTCAACGATCCTCGGAAATTTACATAGTTAGTGTTAACGAGAATAGAACATTCATAATCCAATGCTTCCTTAACTCAATTTTGATTTTTAAAAACCATTCTGATCTACACAATATTTTTCCAAAATTCCAAGTAAATTGGAGTTAATTTATTCATCAATTTCTTAGTGATCAAGTGTCACTTTTCAATTTTTTTTCCATTTTTCCTTAGAACAATTAAAGCTACCGATGATCGTTTAATCAATTTAAAACAAGATTCTATCCGAAAATATGATTTGCTTAACTTAGAACTTATTGAAATGAAAAATATATTTCATCATCATGTCAATGAATGGAATCACTTTTATCTGATATATAACCAATCAAACACTACCACTTCACCATCCAGGAGTCTGTCTGATGATGAAAACTTCAGCTCCACTGATCACAATGAAAAACTTCTTATGGAAAGCGATCGTTTACTAAATTTAGCCAACGAAGCAGCTAAACATAACATTGCAACTCAGTTAAATGAACTACGTAACGAAATCCTACAAGATCTTATAAAGTCCGATATAGAAAGAAATATGAGTCTTGCAAATATGTCAATGCTGTTGAGTAATTTACATAGTCAGTTAGGTATACATTCTAAACAAACACAAGATGAGGTTAGTTTTTTGTACATTATAGATTGATTAATTGAATTTCTATAACTTTATGATAATTTGAAAATTGTGCTAGGTACAGCTTACAATCAGTAAAGAAACAATGAAGTCTAATAACCGAACCACAGAAAACTAACTTCCAAATTGCAAACATAAATTTCAAAAGACATAACTAATAACCTACTATTCATTGAATATGTAACTGCCATCTTAATGGAATAATGTTGTTATTGATATTACATAATATATAGCCAAACAAGCATAACCGAGTTGCTTATCGAGTAATAAATGAACATTTAAACATCAGAGAATAAAGGCCAAAAAAAACAATCTATGGTTCTTAACTTCTGATGTTTTTTGACACTGAAATTCGAATAATTGTATGTCAGACAATTAAGGTAAACGGTTCAATAAAATGATGTAAACTTTGACCAAACTATTATCAGTGAGATATGATGATGTCATTGTGTCTGCTCTTTGTGGCACACCAGCTAAGACTTCACTGGAATTATGATGTTTTTTTAAATAAAATTTTATAGTTTCACTATTTTTTCCCATCGAAAAATCATCGGTCAAATCGTGTTTCAACTTCACATTTTCGCTGTTTGTGTGTGTATACATGCAAAGAGTTATAGAACTTCATATGCAAAATGTAAGAAGAATATATTTGTGATTAAGTTTTAAAGAACTATCTTTTTTTTCTTAATATTATCTCTTGAATTCTTTGATCACATTTTGAAATATTCACAGTGCTTGCTCGGGTGTTTTTTTTCTTTATTTCTTCGTATATCTGAATTTAGACTGGTGTTCTGTTTGTTACTTCTTCAATTCCATTTTCTATTTATATTCTGATCATTCTAGTTTCACAAGCTACATTCACAGTTTATGAGTATGGATAGTGATCGATCAAAAAAGTTCATAGATTTTGAAAACAATTTACTTCAGTTACAAAATCAAATCAATATATTAACACCACACATGTCTGGTTTAGAAAAGTTGAATGAAGAATCAAAGTCCACTTTCATGTATATTCAAAATGGTAAGTTTTATGGCGTATATATATATATATATATATATATATATATATATATATATATACGATAAATCCCATAAAAGTTTGCGTCACATACGAGCTTCAGCTAGAAGGTTGTTAAAAATCAAAATGTCATTTTATAAATCTTCTTAGTTTAGAACTTTATATTGGTTGACACTTAAATTTACTTAAAACTTGAGAAACAAGAGATATTAAAAATGAATGCGAAGTAGTGAGTCATTTGTTCCATTCAATTATACTACACTTTTAGCCACTTTATAAAGCTTGTATTATCTGTGAACTAACCATAGTTATACATTTTCTGATGTTATTTACATGTTATACTTGTTTAAAAGTTTTGTCTCAATATAGCTTGTCTTTATTTATAGTGAATACTACTATATAGTAATTTTCTGCAAACTCATGTATTTTCTAACATCATTCTCATTTGATTGCTAATAATATGCTGTTTACGGAAAAAGAAAGTCACTTCCTACTCAAAGTAATATTCGACTATTTTAGATCACCTAAAGTCAAAATTTATATTGCTAATATAAAATCAACAGAATAATTTATTCAAGTAAATAAAGACGCTTATTAAAAGTGTATATAACCTAGAAATGTTTAGAACAATCTAGGCTACTCTCCCATAAAATATGTCCCAATCTATTGTGAATTGATTGAATTACTAGAATAACTGCGAAAATTCATTTTTTTTGCCATAAATATTTGCTTCTCTTAGCTCTTGTTAGATGAATAAACTAATCACATACAAATTCATCTAGCATTTTCTAAATCTCTCACAATTTGTTATAAAAACCAATAGTACTTATTACTAAACCAGCTTTTCAAACTGTGATTATAGGTAGGTTCATAAGCCGATAAATTAACGCCAATACTCGGTTATAAAATGTCGTCAAAGTGTTGTGGTGCTGTGGAATTTATTAACTATATGCATGGACACTTTATATTTTCTTATTTACGTAAACCAGCTAATCAGTACTGATATAGCGTACGTATATAAATAATAAAATCTCCACAACCTATACCGATGATTAAAATCATAGTGATCAATATTATTAAACGTTTATTTGCAGAGTTAAAAAAATGCGTAAGAAATGAAGAAATCAAAAATTATTGCAGTGAAGCAGTTATTGAAGAGGTGAATGTCGCTATAACTAACCTCTCTCAGTCATTTTCAACTCAAATTAAAGAAATCGTGTATGAGGTAAGATTGACTATTTCCAATTTTTTCTCGCTTTTTTTCTACACAAAATGTATTTACAATTTTAAATACGGCCAAAACAGCGATTGAGGCAGAATAATAGAAATTCATTATAGTTCATGGTTTTTCATTCAGTCAGAGAGCAACAACGTTGAACGTCGTATGTACATACATCAGTACAAGTTAACATACCACATTATCACAGAGAGATCGAATTATCTATTCAAATCCCATGGCGGTAAATGTTTCGAAATATTAAAGGTTTGCAAAAAGATTAGGGTTGGAAAATATTATATTCAAGAAGAATAATCTAGTGAAATAAATTTGAGGAGAGGAAGATGAAGGTCATGAGGAATTCAGATTATAAGTTGAGAGAATACAAAGAATAGATGCACATGCGCCGTTGCAAACAATTTTGAACCATGTTATTCAAGGTCTCTAACCATCGGTTACTATTGTCTCGCGGACCCCAAGCTGGCGGTCTATACCTGCCAACATTACTCAGTTTAGTTGTCAGTGACTTCACGGGTTTGTGCCATGATTTGGTCTGCCTACCATTACTGTTCTTCCAGCCTCCTCCTACATCGGAAATTATCGCTCGTCGGCGTGGTAGGTGGTTATGCTTTTGTAACACATGTCCCAACCACCTCAACTGGTGAGGATTTACTACTTCATTATTTGACTCGCCATCCTTGCGTAGCACACTTTTCCTAACACCAGCATTGCTTTCTCGATGGTCCCGTAACATACTAGCAATGCTTCGAAGACTAGTAACCTACGATTATCCTCTATTGCTAGTGAGATGGTGGAGAAAACGTGTAGCTCAGGTGGATGATTGTGGTGGTGTTTCGTTCTCTGAGCTGGTAGTTTTGGTTGTGGAGCTTTCATTGTTCTTCTGAACAACATCATCAGCACAAACTTCAGATAGAAGTGAAGCATTTTAATTTCTCCACGTTTAACCTGTAGCTTGTTCTGCTAACCTCAATCTTGATTGGTTGCTGTTGACTTTTGACCTGTCAATGGAGAATGAAATCCAATGGACCAGCAATTCCACGATTCTACAGTAGACCAAAACTCCACAAACCTAACATCCCACTACATCCTATTGTATCCATCCCCGGGACCCCGACCGTCAACTTATCAAGAGAAATTTCAAGGATATTAAAACATCTGGTGGATGAATCCAACTACTCCATTAAGTCTGCCACAGAATTTTTGGATAAACTCAAGAGGATTCAAATTGACAACGACGAAACAATGATATCCTTCGACGTAACAGCCTTATTTACCTCAATAGAGCCAAGCTTAGCTAAAGAAACTCTTTCTCTGCTCCTCATCAACGACACAAATCTACACAAATATACAAAGCTTCAGAATCAAAGTCTGCTTGAACTCATCGACCTATGCTTAACAACGTATCTTCAGTTCAACAACAGAGTCTACGAACAAATAAAAGGAACACCAATATCAGGACTCATCGCCGAAGCTGTAATGCAGAGACTGGAAGCGTCAATTCTGCCAGTGATCAAGCCAAAATGTGGGTTCGTTATTATCAAAAGGAATGAGCTGGAGAACATCTACAATCGGATCAACAACGTCTTTGATGACATCAAATTCACGATGGAAAAGGAATCAAACAACAGCCTATCATTCCTGGATGTACTAATCACCAGAACTAACACAGGAAAACTAGAAACTCAAGTATTTCGGAAGCCAACCCACACCGACGTAATTCTCAACTACAATAGTAACAACCAAAGAGCCCACAAAATCAACTGCATACAAACTCTGTTTACGAGAGCGAAGACACACTGCAGCACATACGAAACATTAAAAAACGAGGAAAAACACCTGATGACTATCTTCCAAAAGAACGGCTATCCACGCAACTTCATCAGAAAACATCAACCGAAACCATCATCAGAAGCGAAATCAAGCACAGGAACAAATAAACGCATCATCCTGCCATACATCAAAGACACATCGGAGCATACGGCACGACTACTGAAACCATTTGGAATAGGTATGCCACACAAAACAACAGAATCACTTCAGTCAATCCTATGTAGACCAAGGGACAAAATGACAAAGGAAGAAAAACCAAATATCATCTACAAAATAAATTGCTCAAACTGTGAAAAATACTACATAGGACAAAGTGGACGACCTCTTCAGCTCCGTTTACGTGAACATCAATTAGCAGTCAAACGCCACGACAAAGCTTCGCTTATATCAATACACACCGACAATTATGGACACACATTCGATTGGAACAATGTAGAAATACTGGGTAGGGGGAGGACAAAGAACACTAGAGAATTTTTAGAAGCTTGGCACTCAGGTCAATCAGCAATCAACAAACACACCGACATTGACCCAATTTATCAACCAATCAGGAAAACCATAGGTGACATAGGATCAGCAAACAGATCAAAAGGGGGATACAATCAAAACAAAGGTGCGAACAACGACAGGTTAAACGTCAACAGCAACCAATCAAGATCGAGGTTAGCAGAACAAGCTACAGGTTAAACGTGGAGAAATCCGAATGCTTCACTTCTATCTGAAGTTTGTGCTGATGATCTTGTTCAGAAGAACAATGAAAGCTCCACAACCAAAACATCCAGCTCAGAGAACAAAACACCACCACCACATTCAATCCTTTTTATCAGAAAATCTGAAAAAATGCGGTCAAATACGGGTGATGCTTAGAATATTAAGGTTATACAGTCATCACAAAGTGCTTACAACAAAATGTTGGAGCTTAATGCTAACTGATCAAATTTGAGATGAACAGCACAAGCTGTTATTCATATGTGGAAAAATATTAATACTTGCTTTTCATATCAAGTTTTAGAATGATTTCTTTTAGAAGAGCAATGAAGCTCCTTGAACTAAAACATCCAGCCAACAGAACGAACGAATGAATATACTAACACAGACACACACTCAGACACCCGACAGTAGATTTATTCCTTGATCTAAAACAATATTTAACTTAGATGTTCGTGTGGCAATGTCTGGCATCAAAAAGTGTAAAAAAGAAACACATTAACCTTTTAAAGACTGTTATTTCGAACACAAGCAGGAGCGTTTGAAAACGTGTCGTTGAAGTTGACTACTTCAAGTGGTGCTCGTCAGAGTTGTCCTCTATCTCGATTATATACTATTAGATTTCACTTTAATCGTCTTAGTTTTCGAGGGCTGTTCTCCAGCCTGAAGATCCCTTGTTAATTTGGGATTAGCGGATGACACAGTTCTGTTTCTTGAAGAAGCTGACAAAAGTTAGTCTTCTAAATGCCTTAAGTAACAATCGAAGTGTGTTCAGAATGTTATTCTTTTCCTCTAAACGCCTAATCTTGATTTACTATTGGTCTCTGTCAGTGCTTGAATCGTTGACAGGGAGTGAAATAGTTTGGCGTATCAACCGCCCCATTTATATTGGGTCTCCCCAACTCCTATGGTTTAGTGCTTGGTGAAATCTCGAAACATTTCGGCTTTGGCTTTCTTGCTTCACTTGTACCGTAAGCGAGATATATCAACCAGCCTGTTTACTGCGCAACAGTTTTCTGCGTTCTAGTCTATGGGTGTAAAACGTGGCCATTGAGAATAGAGAATAGCCATATATTACTAGTATTCGATCACAGGCTTATTCTAAAACCAAAGAAGCTTTTTGTCCTACTCCGCCCAGTGTCCGAAGATTGAAAGCTCCAACTTGTATTTTAGAGAGGAGTTTCAGGAGACCTGGAATAACGTTTCATTAGTATTAGTGGTACCTAGTGAAAAGGTTATACGAAAAGGGTCAGTCGGGGAAATAAGAAAATTATTAATAGGTGGATGAAGCATTTGACTGTAAGCAAATTGATCTCTTGTGCTATTGAGGGTATTAGAGTGGCTGTCACTTCCTTGGTGCCCATACGATGGGAAAGTGTTTCTTGAAGAACATAAAAGGAAGGTTGATTAAGTTGTAAATAAGTTTTACCACATTACTTAACTTCTTAAACAGTATAGAATGCGTTATGTAGCTGATTGTGATCGACTGTTTAAGTATACCACGAAGTTAAGTTATTCATATTCTGTTTCCTTTCATTTTGAACAGTTAACCATTTTTCTTCAACATTATAAAGTAATTCATTAAAATAAACTGTTCAAGATAGTTTCAAATTGTCAATTTAGTTAGCAATAATTTTTAAGTAGATAATTTATTGTCAATGAATGATTCTCCGTTAAGTATATAAGTCACTGCAAGTAAGTAAACTAATTACACGACTGTTTTATTTGAACTTGAGTTTACACGTTTGTCTTTTCAGTAATGTATATGCTTTCATCTCCTAACTTGTCTTCTCTTAAACAGACTATAATCGGGGAATTAAGGAACAGTAATAATATGGATAGTACCCTTTTGGCTTACATTAGACAAACTGTATCTACGTTGGTAAAAGAATCCGTTGATAAATTGGTGTATAGTAAGTTTTTTTGTTGGTAACAATATCAAGGATCTACCTAATAATTTCAAATAAATTAAACATTCGGTAGAATATTAATGCTTACATAATGATATATTCGTGATATCCCAATCAGTAAAAATTTGAATTCCCAACGTTTCTTGACTTAACCTGATTTATGTGAATCATAAATTGATAACAATGAAGCTATTTACATTCTCATCTGACAAAATATATTTCTCTGATCATCACCATTAAGTGGATATATGGTCAATCAACTAGTTTACTTGTAGTCCATTTTTAATTAGTTCCTTTAAATTTATGTGTATTGCTAATTACCAAAGTGCGAAAATCTACACCATTCTGCAGCTTAACTTATTCAGCTATCTTACAAAGTTCCTAATCGTTGGTATAGATAGTGTGCAAGATATATTGTTTCTTAGTCATTGTTTAGCTATTTGCTTACACTTTGACTCTTGATCATAAACACCTTGTAGATTTGAGTCAATGTGTATTGTTGTATATGAATGATGTACATGGACTAGGAGACAACTAAGTTCCAGTCCAAATATCTGTCTATCTTCAGTTGTTAACTGATCACCATTTACTTCCAAAAGACGCATTATTTAATTGTCACTCAGTAATAAGCATGAATATGGAGTATTTCTGACTTCGGCAAATTTTTTAATAAGAAGAAAATGCTTCGCATGGTACTTATTTCCTATGAGTTCATGCTCACACAGAACTTTTTGTTTATTTAATGTAGATCATCAGTTGGAACCAGTCCCACATTCACTTGAGAATAAAGCGTCTTTAGTTGGAATGATCGATGAAGCTCTACATCGATTTGCAGCTGACAGAACTGGTCTTCCGGATTACGCATTAGAATCATCTGGAGGCTCTGTTGTTGGCACGCGCTGTACAAAAACATATACTAAAGGTGCATCACTATTAAGTATTTTCGGTTTGCCTTTAGCTCGTCTTAGCAATTCTCCCCGGTAAGTTGTGTATTGTTTCTCATTTACTTGTTCGAGAGAAGCATGGATTTTCCTTGGTATCTGAAACATTTTTCAGCCCAAACAGTTGAAAGATTTCGATAAGTCTGTACATCTTAAGTGTCCCTGTGATTTTAAGGCACGTTTTTGAGCATGGAAATTTGGTCGCCTTTCTATTCCTACTTAATGGAACCATAATTAAGTTTTTTATGCTATCATTCTGATATCTATTTATTTTCATTTATTAAAGTCCTGAACCGCTCTAAATTAAACCACCTTACAAAACCCAGAAACAATGGAAAGCCTTTTTTCCTATGATGGCAGTGTCACTATCTCACGCACTAGAATCGAACCCAAGACCTTCGGTCTCACTCACTGAGCAGTGTTAATTCCTAATCTTAACCAACCGACGACATTACGCGACTATTTCCTATTGACTTTGGTGGGTAACTTCCTCACATCCGACACAGTCAAACTCCACTGATGATAACATTTCACTAGAGTCCTGGGATTTCCATCTCGTCGCTAGTCATTTGTAGTGTGCCGATTTACTGCGCGTTCTTAAGTTTCGTAATAAGCTCGTTCAGACTATATTTACTGAATGACGTCTGACGGTTAATAAATCAGAAGATGAATTCGAAGTATCTTATAAGTTTATTGTTGCACACCACAATAAGGATAGCAGACCACAGAAGACCGGGCAGACACACTAGCTAGCGAATATGCGAATGAGCGAATGAATTAATAAGACTAAAATGTTCGTATATATACAAAGGAAAAATGTCTGAGTCATCGTGGTATTTAAGAGATTAAGATTAAAGCGAATAGGATGTATATGTGCGTAGGCGTTAAGCAATGCTCAATCATACCAGCCCATACAAACCAGATAATAAAAAATACCAATGGTACATACAAGTTGTTGCTAAGCCAATGGCTTGGTTAAAGAAATTAATCAAAAGGGCTTAAGCAAATTAAATGTAAGCGGATGCAAATAAATGTGGGGGCACTACAAAAGCCCCCTTCCAGCAAACAAGGTTACGAAAATGTCTTTGTTTGCGAGAAAAGAAAATCAAAATTGTCGAAAAACATCAAAAGTTTCGGAAGTTAAAGTTTTTCTATTCGCATACGTTCGTGAGGTCGCAAAGGAACAGAAGATCAAGCAAAAGTATAGCAATGTTTTTAGGTTACATCTCAATTTCGAAATACACTAAATGTAATGAAGGCAATAGTAGATAAATTAGAATTTTCGACGTACACATGCGAAGCAAAAAAAAAAATGTGTTCGAAATGGTGAGAAGAATTATCAGTTCAAAATCGTAGCTATATATCTTTGCGGCCACCTGACTCTTCGTCTATATCTGGTCGTTGGTGGACTTCCTTCGCTTTTCAGTGTTCCTGTTTCAGAGGGTTTAAACTCGCATTCCGGTGATCCAATGGCTTTCGATGGGTTTGCGTTTATTGGCTGTTCTTCCCCTTCGATGAAAGCTGGTTTGACCTTGTCGATGCTAACTACATCCGTTTTTCCAGCTTTATCTACGGTGATAGTTTTATCGTTTCTGTCGATAACTTTAAAAGGACCATCGTAGGTCGGTTGTAAGGGACGTCGCACAAAATCTCTCCTGATAAATACATAGGTGGTATCACTTAGTTGCTTCGGAATATATACTCGATGTTGATTCTCCTGCGGAAGCGTTATTCTTAGATCGCTCATGTGTTCTTTTAGACGACGTACGTAGTTAGTTATATCAGTTGGAACAATCTTACCTGAGATGAACAACTCTCCTGGTAGACGTAGGGTAGTTCCGTAAACTAACTCTGCAGGGCAACATCCTATGTCTCTTTTAATCGTCGATCTTAAACTCAACATGACTAATGGAAGCTTGTTGGCCCAGTCATTGTTGTCAATAACAGCTGTAAGAGATGCTTTCAGTTGTCGATGTAATCTCTCTGCCATACCATTCGCCATCGGGTGGTAGGAGGTTGGGCGTATACGTTTAATGCCGAGGAGCTCTGTGAGTTGTTGAAAGAGGCGACTTTCAAATTGGGCTCCTCTATCGGTTGTGATATGATCAGGGACTCCATAATATGAGATCCAGTGTTCGACCAAGGTTTTAGCTATGGTCTCTGCTGAAATATCTTTTATGGGCACCGCTACAGGCCATCGCGTGAATCTGTCTATGCAGGTAAAAATATAACTGAAGCCATTCGAAATCGGCAGTGGCCCCACAATATCGATATGTATGTGCTCGAATCGGCTGTCTGGGTGACGGAATGGACCTACTGCGGAACTTGTGTAACGATGAACTTTAACTTTCTGGCATTTAATACATGCCTGTGTCCAGTTGCGAACATCTCGGTTCATATTTGGCCATACGAAACGGTCGCTGATCAGACTGATCGCTGCCTTAATTCCGGGATGTGATATATCATGCATAGTTTCGAAAACTTTTCGTCTAAATGGCTTCGGAATAAACGGTCGTGGTCTGCCTGCAGACATATCACACATTATGTTTACTTTGCCGAATGGAGTTTCCCGGAGTACTAAAGAAGTTGTATTGGATGATCTTAGCCTGCTTAGCTCAGCGTCCATATTTTGCAACTCTGCTAGTTTGTGATAATCGATTCCAGAGTGGATGAGAGCGTTAATCATTGCTCTTGATAATCCATCTGTTTCTTCGTTACTTTGGACTTTTGAGACCACTAAATTCATCGAAACGTGTTCGGTGATTATTCCTCTTATCACCAATGAACGGTCTCTGCTCAACATCTGGTTTCGTCGCGAATCTACTATTAAGTCGAAATTCTTCAGGAAATCAATACCGATTATAGGTACGGATACGTCTGCTATCACAAATTCCCATCGAAGTGAAATGTTTCGGCCGAAATCTAAAGTTCTTTTTCGCTTTCCGTATGTTTTTATGTCAGATTTGTTTGCTGCTTTCAAAGTAAGCGCCATATTCACATTTCGTCGTTCATTACTAACGGGCGGCACAACACTTATTTCGGCTCCTGTGTCGACTAAGAATTGAGCACCAGTTGTCTTGTCCTGGATGTAAAATAGACAACTGTTTTTGGGAGCTACGCCAGCTGTCACAGCCGTTACCGGCAACCGGCGGGGCCGTTTCTCTGTTGAACTATTTTGAAACCGCATGGCGGTCTGCACTTTCTGGCTTGGTTGCCATAAGTCTGGTGATACCAGCATATAGTAGGTCCTGTGCGTCTCCGTGAGCGTGATTGATATTTATCAAGTGACCTACTTTGCGATAGTTCTTTCGGTCTCTCGTTCGGATGCAGCCCGGAAAGCTTTTGAGATAAATTGTTATTCTCTTTTCGTAACTTTTCGATTTGGAATTAGCCGAGGTGTGTTGTATTTGTGGGCTCGGTATTCTGGATCTTTCCTGAATGCTATCGGCTATCTCTGCCATATGATCTATGTCGACATCAGCATCTCCGAATGCAAGGATCTGCTGAATATTTTGGGCTAGTCGCCGGGGCAACAGCTGATAGAAGATGCTACTGTTTATTTTCCGGTCTCCGATTATGCTTCTCATATAATTTTTTAGCTGTGATGGAATCCTATCACCTAGTTCGACTTGGTTGACAGGTCCGTTTAAGGCCTGTTGGTCGCTTAGCGAGATGGCCTTTATCACAGCCGCTTTCATTACGTCGTACGGAGCTTCTGTGTCTGGTTTGGCAAGAACGTCGCGTACCGCATCAGCTACTTCGTTCGGAAGCAATGCACATGCATGGCCGAATTTGTCGCGTTGTAAGCTGATACGGTTAACTGAGAAGTAACTTTCAAGTCTAATAAACCAAAGTTGTGGATCGGCAACACTAAATGGAGGAATAGCAATATTAAGGGACCTCACGGACGCCACTTGTGGCAGACTTGTTTCGTTAACTGAAGACATGTTAAGGTACAATTTATAGTACGCAAATAAATTAACAAAAATAAGGGGAGGAAATTAGATAGACGATAATAATGTTAACAACAATTAATAAAAGGTTATAACACGGAACGGACTTACTAAAGTGCAGCAGTAAAACAGTTTTATGTATAATGACGTAATTCGTAATTGTTAATATTGTCAAAATATGTCAAATAATGTTTATGAAATAATTGTCATGCAATAACGATATGATAATGATAATAATCCAAAATGTTAATTTAATCCCAAAATAGTAATTCGTATCGAAATAGTGATTGTCAGTAATATTGCGGACGCGTTCGATTTTTGGTCGTAGTTTTTGGTCTGTCGTCGATATCAGCAAATTATTCCTGGGAGCGTCGGGGTTACCGATTTTGTTGGAAGCGTTCGATATTTTTTTGTCAGTATCCGGAAATATCCTGAGAACGTCGGGATTACCTTTTTGTAGTGTGCCGATTTACTGCGCGTTCTTAAGTTTCGTAATAAGCTCGTTCAGACTATATTTACTGAATGACGTCTGACGGTTAATAAATCAGAAGATGAATTCGAAGTATCTTATAAGTTTATTGTTGCACACCACAATAAGGATAGCAGACCACAGAAGACCGGGCAGACACACTAGCTAGCGAATATGCGAATGAGCGAATGAATTAATAAGACTAAAATGTTCGTATATATACAAAGGAAAAATGTCTGAGTCATCGTGGTATTTAAGAGATTAAGATTAAAGCGAATAGGATGTATATGTGCGTAGGCGTTAAGCAATGCTCAATCATACCAGCCCATACAAACCAGATAATAAAAAATACCAATGGTACATACAAGTTGTTGCTAAGCCAATGGCTTGGTTAAAGAAATTAATCAAAAGGGCTTAAGCAAATTAAATGTAAGCTGATGCAAATAAATGTGGAGGCACTACACATTAATGAGCATATGATAATTATAAGTGTGGAGCCGAGGGTATCATTGACATCATGAGTATACTAGAAATGAACGTCAACACTGTAGTCTGCTATTTTAGTTTGATTTATCTCTATATACGAAACAGTGGTTCCCTTTGATAAATTTGAACAGAGAAATGAGAAGACATATTTTGTGAGATAGTACCATTTCGTGCTTTCTCGTCAGTCACATACAAGCAACATGTTATTCGTGTAAATACAGTTTTGAAGATAAGGTCAAAATTTCTTATTTAGCATGACATTCACTCACTAGAACCATGGTAAACAAAGGTCAACATACAGTTGTTTTTGAACACATAAAGTTGGACTTTTCCGATCAATCAAGATAGCTTCGAGTAGTTTGAGTGTGTGTGGGTTTTGATGACATGTCACAACTCTAAAGGCTGGTTCGGGTCAATTTGATGACCAATCATCATTAGATGTTTTGCAATGGATGAGGCTGGGCTTCTTGATCGATCTTGAGATGACGGGCTAGGTGGATGAATCATGGATTTGATTAACCATCTTGGAATATGTTCCCCTATCCTGTCCTCCAGTCTGTGATCTGTCCTACCCTATTAACTTTCTCCGCAGTTACATGTGAATTGGTAAATACAGTGGGATTTTAACTGAATCGGTCTTGGAGACTTGATTGGGGTAACTGAGATCGATTGAGTCTTTGTGATAATCCTCAGATTAGCTGCATTGAAGGTTTTTTTATTGCAGCTGCAGTCTGTTCGGTACTATCTCGCACAATATGTCTTCTCATTTCTCTGTTCAAATTTATCGCTACATAGTCAAAATTATTTTGAGTTGCTCAATAAATACGCCTTTTTTACGGAGAGGTCTTGAGAATAGCTTTTCTCTCATTACTTCTTTACAGAACAATCCTTCAACCTGGTAATAATCCCGGTGACTGTTGGCCATTTGAAGGGAGTAAGGGTCAAGTGATCATTCGTCTATCGTCTCCAATTATTATTAGTTCAGTGACTTTGGAACACTTACCAAAGGAACTTTCACCAAATGGTAGACTAGACTCAGCTCCGAGAGATTTTCTTGTAAAAGTGAGTGAATTTGCACAGTTTATATGTATTTTCTGTATATGATACCAGCAGTTCAGAAATCAAGTTCATTGTACCGACAGATATTTGAGGAGCAGAGATTATACACTGCTTATGTCGTTTCGATTTGAACAACAAATCGTAATTGTTTTTTGAGTTAGTTTTTCTTGGGATAAGTAATATCTTTACAATTGCCTAATCATACAAAAAATGAAATTGAATGCGTGTTGTAAGTAAACACTACTATTTCCTCATCACTTGATAAGTCTACTCATAATCGAGAAACTTTATGATACATGTAAAAGTATTCTCTAGAAGTCATTCATTTTATTTAGTGCATATTTTGCAATGATCGTCTTTTTAAAAAGATCTTTCCTTCAGCTAGTTTTTGTTGTTATATTAACATTTAAATTAATCTGAAATTAAAAACCGTTAATTCTTACCCAACTTATATGTTTTCATTTCACAACATAACCTGACAGTATATATTTAATTATAAGGGGTTTATTTATCATATTTTATCACCATTCAGAGTTTGTGATTCTCTCATTCGATGTTTTCTTTCCAAATAGGTATTATAACTCTAAAATAATTATTAACAAACTATGTGAACATGAACTTTTTATTTCATTACTTCAGGCTTTACAATCAGAATACGATGAAGACGGGTTAGTTCTGGGAGAATTTACTTATGATGTAAAGAATAGACCTATACAAAATTTTCCTACAAAGGCAAGTGTAATCAACTTATTTTGTAAGACATGAAATTTTACAGACTCGCACAACGTATTCCTATCAACAAGTTTCTTAAAAAAAAAAACAGGAATACTTAAAAAATTGATTTATTTAACAGTGATTAACATTTTCGTTAGCTATAAAGAGAGACTTGCACAAAGAATGCTCATCGCTCATAGGAAAAAAGAGCTCTCCATTGATCGTTGGTCATGACAGATTCGGAGATGGAAATAGTGCACAGTATAGTTACTACTGAAAGTAATGATCATTCTACCAAAGTACATAATGTAACTGGTTCGAATGCACAAAAATGTCGAAAATATAAAGTTACTTACTCACTTACGCCTGTTACCCACAGTGGAGCATTGGCCGGCGACCGGTGTTTTCCAACCTACTCTTCTGTCCTGGGTTTCCCTTTACGGTTTTGTCCGATTTTTGTTCATTCTTCGTATGTATGTCTCAATTTCTCAGCGTAATGTGTTTCTTGGCCTTGCTCTTTTTCCGTGACCTTGAGGGTTCCAAATGAGGGCTTGTCTTGTGACGTAGTTGGGTGCTTTCTTCAATGTGTGTCCTATTCATTTCCAGAGCTTCTTCCTGATTTCTTCCTCTACTAGAGTCTAGTTTGTTCTCTCCCACAGTAGGTTGTTGCTGATTGTCTACTTTAACAACTTTCCAATGTATTGTTTGTCCTCAAAACCTGTGTACACAGATAACAAACAAGCTAAGCAACGGTTACAAATTTCATATTTGATGCAAATTAGTTCCGAACTAAAGTTTCTGATGAATTAAAATTATTCGTTGTACCACGCATTTACAATAAGTATACAGGAAGTGACAAAATTAAACTTTGTCTTTTTGAATTCACCTGATCAACGTACTGCTACTTTGACACTAATAAAATATTCTATATTGATTGCAAACAGTTGAGTTGTCATCAGAATATACCAAGTAATAACATTACCATCACCTTCATTTTTATTTATTATTCATTTTGTTATTCATAAGAACATTTCTTTCATCTTATACTTTAAAGTGATGAGTAAAAACCACTTTGTCATACAATGAGTTATCGATCTGTGTTACTAGTGATTCTACACAACTGATAAGATATTATTGTTTTACCATTGTTTAAGATCGTAACTTCAGTAAACAGATGAAGAGTAAAACAATAAGAAATAAATGAAATTCCCTTAATTAGTTCTCTTACGGTTACAAAAGAACAAATGAACTTGCCATGAGAACATGACTTGTTCAGTAATCGAGCTTAGATGAAAGGACTTAATTAAGTTAAATAATCGATTAGTAACTTTGATAAAGTTTACTGAAATGATGACCAATCAATCTTATGCATATAGAAATCACAGAATAAGTTGATTTATTCTAACCATAGTTGTATTTCTTCCAACTTTCACTAGAGGAGAACTCATGCTTTACATACCATTAGACCAATGTGATTGTTGTTTATTTGTTTTTTTTTTTAGGAATATTTAAAGCCTATCCAATATGTTGAGCTTGTTATACTGAATAATCACGGACATTCGGAATATACGTGTATTTATCGCTTTCGAGTTCACGGCCGTATGATTACTTGATCGGAGTTCAGTACTTATTTGAAGATACACGTACATAATGTATCATTCTTCATAATATTAAGTAAACACTGTGCAATTACGTGTTTTTTTTAAACGAGATAATTCTCAATTCTTTATGTCATCTCCCTAATTGAACATTTTACATTGTAAGTATTTTGCACTTTTCACATTTTATTCCATTTCATTTTCTCATCGGTGTTTTATGTTGAAATATATTTGTTTTGTTGTAACCAATAACTCTCTAAAAATAGCTCTCCGACGCAATATCTGTAAAAGAAAAACCTAAACTGGAAGTCTGAAAATAATTTTTCAATCAAGAATAGGGTGTATTTGTTCTAAAAACAATCTCGTAGTACATTTGAGAAAAAATTTTTACTATATGTTAAATGCTCATTAACCCTTAGTTCATTAGTCTTACAGACAGTTCTCCCACGCTCCTAAATTGTTGTTCATTTGTAAAAAATAAACAGTAGTAACAAGTGATCTTTGTAAATTTGGAAGGTGAATGAAAAGAATGCTTGATTAAGTATATGATTGATAGGACACTTGTATACTGACTTAAGTTTCACGATTGAATGTGATTAGTCTCACTCTGAAGGCGGACAAATTTGTTGACTGATAAATATGACAACAGAATTATAATTAATGAAACATTAGTTTTGTATAATAATCAGGTTGTTGCATACACGATCGCAAACAAAGCATTTTAATTAAACGAATACAATTTTCTTGATTAGCGTAAACTTCGAATGAGACCACTGTGAACTAGCTTCACAAAAATCAGTTAGTAATTCCAGATATAATTTAAGAAGTTTTATTCAGCATTCATTTCTTGAATTCTCAAACTGTTTTTTATAACTAAAGCCGAAAGCAGATATAATCTACCAGAACCCATACGGTTTAATGAAGTTGCAAAATTAAGGATTTGTTATCTATAACAATGTGATTAGTAGATTCCATCTTGTTGTGAACGAAACAATTCATACGAGGAACAACAGACGAAGTTATGTTGTGATATACCGATGAATAGACTTTTATCACAGATCTGTTTACTTCACTTAGAAATACCAAGAAGAGTCCGTAGCCATCTTAGGGGAAAAATGCTTACTAAATCGATTTTTTGTGCAAAATATCAGTAATTGAGTTTGTTCTTAGTGGGACCTTCGTCTGGTTTGGAAAAGCATCGTGTTTGCATCACTAATGTGTGAGTCAGTACTTACAAAAATTTTAGTTTCTTATTCATTAAATTAATTAACGTTAAATGGACAGGAATTATTTTTAAGATTTCCTCTCTCACTGGTGTCTTCAGTGTAAATAGCTTGTTGCAACTGTCAGTCAATCAGTTGCAACATAGAACTTCGTACGTATGTACATAAGTTCATGTTTCCATACCACATTAACACAGAGACGCAATTGTGAAATCAAATCCCATAGTGATAAAGATAGTAGAGGTATTAATGGTAATCAAGAAGACTAGGGTTTGAAGATATTATTCCAGAAGTGTAATTCAGTGAAATAATGTTAGAAAGACAAAGGCAAAGGTGCTGACGAATCCAGAAGATTAGGATTTGAGAGAGCACAACGAATGGATGCACTTGCGCCATTGCAAACGATTTTGAGCCATGTCGTTCAAGGTCTCTAACCATTGGTGACTTTCGTCTTGCCGACCCCAACCAGATAACCTACACCTACCAACATGTCTCAGTCCACTTGTCAGTGACTTCATGGATTTCTGCCATGTTTTGGTCTGGCCGCCCATAGATTTCTTCCAACCTACTCCTGTACCACAAAACATAGCTCATCGAGACAGTCGGTGGTTAGGCATTCATAACACATGTCCCAACCACCTCATCTGATGAAGTTTCAATACTTCATCTATTGATCTGCCATCCTTACCTAGCACCCGTTTCCTAAATACAGCATTGCTTACTCGGTTGTCCCACGATATACGAGCAATGCTTCTTAAACATCTGTGATCGAATACTAGTAACCTACGAACATCTTCTGCTCTTAACGGCCATGTTTCACATTCATATAGGAGAACGGAGCGAACTGCTGCGCAGTACATCCATCCTTTGGTCAGCAAACGGATATCTCGTCTACGCCATAAGTGACGCAGGTCGGCAAAAGCCAATCGAACCTTCTGTATCCGAGCTGAAATTTCGTCAATCATCAGGCTTTAAGCGCTGGTGAGACTTCCCAGATAAGTGAAGCGATCAACACCCTCGAATACTTCACCCCCTATCACTAGTTCAGGTGCCGATGCAACTCAGTCTTGAAGCAACATTTTGCGTTTCGACGGGGAAAACCGCATCCCGAACATGCTTGCATTGTTGCTTAGAGTTGTCAGAAGACTCTGCATTTTGTCAGCGTCTTCACCAAATAGAACTATGTCATCGGCATATTCTAGGTCAGTAAGCGATTTTTCTGGTAGAAGGTCCACTCCTGAAAAATCTGACGAGATTAATGTTAACTCTAAAAGGATGTCTACGACAAAGTTAAACAAGAATGGAGAGAGTGGACATCCCTGACGGACACCACTTGAAGTAAAGAATTCCGATAACCGTTCACCATAAGCTCTCACTCGACCAGTATTGTTCGGGTAGAGAACTTGTATAAGGTTAATGTACTTCTTTGGTACACCTTTCAATGACAGACTGCCACAGAACCTCACGATCCACTGAGTCAAATGCCGCTTTTAGTTCCAGGAACATGACTGTTGTCGGACGTCTGAATGTGTGTCTGTGTTCCAGGACCTGTCTTAGTGTGAAGATGTGGTCTATACAACCACGTCCAGGTCGAAAACCAGCCTGGTTTTCTCGAGTCTGCACTTCACGAGCTCTGGTTAGACGTCTAAGTATAATGGAGGCTAACTATTTAGAAACTATATTAGTAAGACTTATTCCCCTGTGATTGTCACAAGAGGACTTTTGTCCTTTCTTGTAGATTGGGAAAATTAGCGACTGAGACCAGTCGGATGGGATTACGTCCAGTTCCCAGATTCTACCTAGGATCTCGGTCAGTCTAACTGTCAAAACTGGACCACCATCCTTAAACATCTCAGGGGTAAGCCTATCAGGACCTGCTGCTCTACATCCCTTTAGATTTCCTATAGCTTTATCAACTTCATGTAGACTGGGAGGATGACTGGAGATCGTGGGCAACCAAAGTGTGGCTGAAGACCAGTTGAACTGATCCCTAAAGTGTTCTGCCCATCGATCCAGTCTCCTGGATTGAGAATGGATGATAAGACCATCATTTCCAGAGATAGTTTCATTCATATGCAGGTTCCTAATACCAGTTTCCCTGATGAGTCTGAATATTTGCCGACTGTTGCCTATCACCTCTGCCTTTTTCAAATAATAGTCCCATCCTTTTTCGAGAAAGTCTCACTTATAGTAGGATTCCTAACACCATTTTCCTAGATAAGTCGGAAAGTTGTGTATTAATGCCTATCGCCACTGCCTTTTTCATCGCTTTTGCTTTCGCCACCCACCACTGTTCGCGGTCGTTGCGTAGGCTTCTTATCAGCCTGCGCTTATGCTGACTTCGCTCTTCATCATGTTCAGAGCCAGGTGGGATGAGTTTTCGAGCACCCGTCAGTTTGGTGTCTGTTACTGAGATCCACAGCTTCTTCCTCGACTTATGGATTACCTTACTAGCAGACATCACTGCTGTTTCCACAGCTTTTTGGATATCATTCCAACCTCCCTCCGGATGGGAATCGCTTAAACGGTCGCCTAACTGTCTTTCTAGTTGTTCCTGAAATATATTCTTAGCCTTATTATCATTAAGTAAAACCCTAAGAGGCTTCCTTATGGTGGCTTTCCTACGTCCAGTAAGCCTCAAACAAATACGAGCTCGCACTAAGGCATGATCTGAATCTAGACATGTGCCCCAGAACGAGCGACAGTCCTCTATCGAACCCCTCCATCGGTGGCTGATGGCAATGTGATCTGGTTGGGTCCAACGTTGAGACGACTTTGGGGTCGCCATGTCAAGAGATGTTCTTCCTTATGCCTAAAGTTAGTGTTTGCTAGGAATAGACGGTTATCTGAGCATAGTTGCAACAGACGGTCGCCATTGTCTGTTCTCTGAGCTACGAGACCATAAGATCCACTCAGGTGTCTTTCGTTTTCATTTAGTCTACCTACTTGAGCATTAAAGTCATCAGCCATTATTACTACATCAGAGTGCCTAACTTTTTGGAGGAGGTCCGAAAGCTTTCTGTGGAACTCATCTTTCACCTCGTCCGAACTGCATTCAGTGGGGGCATAGGTAGATATGACGAAGAGGCAACGACGGGTGTCCTTATCTTTACGAGTTCTTATTGTTCTGTTTCGTCAAACAGCGCACAAACGACGATGTACTGGGATCCAGTCTAGGAGAGATAGTTCTGCCCTACGACTCAATGCTATACCTACACCAGCGAGACCCCTGGAAGCAGCATCAGGGCCACTGGATACACCAAGAGTAAATCGAGTTGCTTTATCTTGACATGGCGAGGTCAAGTGAATGATGCTACTCGGATCCTGTATGCGCGTTCATTGGACGCAGAATACATCGATTGAGCGAGATTCTAAAGTCCTATCTGAGGAAACCTGTTGCCCTATTTGACACAATGTCCGCACATGAAATGCCTAGAGCGTGGTTTCAGCAGACCAGATATGACGTTCCTTGAACTCGCATCGTTTGCATAAGCTGTGCACTGTGATAAAGGAATGTGAGGAGATTTAGTCGTGGAGATAAGAGAGGTACTAGGCGGTGTAGGATGGATTCGATTATGACCAATTTGGTTTCGTGTGCTGGTACAGGTATGAGGACGGTTGTCACTTCCCGGCTGCCCACACCGGGGAAGGTTGTTTCTTGAGGGACCTGAAAAGGAAGATAGATTAGTGCTTGGTCTTAGAAACCTGGGTGCGTGACCGCAGAGCCCGAAGGACAACAACGCACGGCCTTTTTATGAAAGGTTTTTTAGTGTTAGCTCCGCACTTAAAGGTCGTTCTTTGGCAGCCCTTACCGACGGAGACGGAAGTCCGTGAGGTAAGGTGAGGTGTGACATTTTAGAGTCGACCTTTTCTAATCCTTCCTTCCTTGTGATAAGGCAGCATCGCTGCAGATGCTGGTTGTTCGAGGGAAACACCTTACTGCTGTCACACCCCTCTGCAGTCCTCAGTACGACTTCGCCCACAGACCTTGGGTAGCTGGTTTTAGTCTCTTCGTTCTCCAATCGACCTACCTGACATGGCAGGACCTGCACGAACATATGTTCCAGCCAATATAGCTCGGTTCGGTTATCACGATAGGCAAGTCCGACCACCACGTCAAGGTAGCAGCCTCGGTCGGGTTGTTGCAACTGTAATGAACGTTTTCTTTTACCAGAGACTGTTGTCAAATAACTTGACCGCTTATAGACATTGAATGTCACGTAGATC